CTTGACAATATTTGTCTCACATTTCATTTTATGCTTAAAAATTTTAAATTTAGTGAGTAGGGTAAACCAACCAGTGAAGGAACACTACCCAGTGAAGGAACATTTCATATATATTGATTAAAAATAAGAATTTGATAGTTTTTCTTTAGATTGATTGGCAACAATAGCCAAACAATAGGAAGTCATCTAGCAATGCTTTGGATTACCTGGTCAAATAGACTTCTCTGGAAAAAATTTTGAATTTGTTATTATCTCTGCAACACCTTGTTTCTTTGAAAAAATTAAAAGGTAAGAGCTTGTATTTATATGCTTGAAGTGGAATTAATGGCATGTAACAGTTTTATTTTTCTCACTGTGAAAAGGAGAATTCAAAATATAGTTATTGAAGTTAAGTTTTATTTTTTTAAAGCATCATAGCATAATAAAGTACTGAGATAAGGGGGTGTTTATTCACTGGATCACCAAACGATGAAAAAACAGTGAAGGAACAAGTGTTTCTTTACTGGGCTTTTTTCTAAGTTAATGAAAATAAAAGATAAACTTTAATTTTCTTGTACCTTTGGTGATGTTCCGCATCAAAAGTATGTTAAAAATACGAAAAACAACTTCTAACCAGTGAAGGAACAGGCAGGTTCCCTTACTAGGCATAGATTTCCCAGTGAATGAACAGTATGTGTTAATATGTTGACACTTTAATTTTCAATTCATTATAACAAACAAAAGTTAACATTTTCCAAGTATTTATATGTTGTAATTTCAAGAATAGGCTTGTTTTTAGCTATTTGTATGGCTTATAAATTCATAAAAACCTTAAAAAAATAACCAAAATTAAGTGTTCCTTTACTGGGTGTTCATTCACTGGTAAGAGCTGTTCCTTCACTTGGTCTTCTTACTACTTGTTATTTGAACCTCCAAAACTTTAAAACAATATTATGTAAGTTCTCTACAATTTTTTGACATAATTTGCAATTAGTAACAAATATGTTGACACTGTCATTTAACTGAAATTACGAATTTTGAATTTAATATGATTTTTTAAAAGGCAAGCGAAGCTTAAGTGTTCCTTCACTGGTTAGTTTACCATAGCAGATTGTTAAGCTCTCTAGTAAGTAGCAATGAAATACTCGTATTGCATTTTCCCCTTTTTTTACCCCATATTATTTACAATTTTCTGTAAATTAGCATGCTCACATCCTTTTTTTAAAGCCAGCAAACTTACCCGAACGAAAATAAAATATGAAGGTACGAAAAATAGACTGAAAAATAAATAAATAAAATAGAGGAAGAACGAATTTTTTTTCACCTGTTCTGAATACTAAACAGAAGGAATGTAAACCGCTCCCCGTAGAAAAATAAAGCTAGGTATAAATTGTTATGCCAGAAAAAAGTTCTCCATTTATCTTGCGCGGTTTATAGCCCTGGAATAAAATATATCCCGAGAGCTACTTTGAATTATAATTTCGTTTGTTAGATGAAAGAAATGGTGAACATGCATTTAGGTTGACATGTTATATGAGCTGTGTTAATATTTAATCTTAATATTTGCTCGAAAAGCACTTCATCCTAACTCTTTCTCTCTCTGTGATTAATGTTATTGCCTAAAAGATGCCTTCTTAATGAAGTGTCTTTTAAGTAATATTTAAGTAAGAGGTTATACTATTAGACTTAATCCAAACAGCACATCAATGGTACAGTAACAGCTACATAAATGGCACGTAAGAACTGTATAATTCTTATATAAAATTGAATTTTAATAAATAAGCAAATATGTCCAAGAATCATGCATTCTATAAAATATTCTATAATGACCACCTTTTTTTTATATATCCTTAAAATACTAGTAAAATACGAAAATTAAAAAAGTATGCACATTACTCTTTTAACAATTTTACCTCAAAATAATAAAGGCAAAAGATACTCCAGGCAACAATATATAACGCTAGGTAGTAAGTTTAACTCAAACATATAAAAAAAAAACAAGAAAGCAAACCGAAAACAAGAAAGTATTTAAAAAACTTAATTTCTAATATATATATCTGAAATAACCATCTAAACAAGCTTTTTTCAATGAAATAGGATAACTAAATAAGCATTATTAATTTCTTCAAAGTGAGCAATTATTCTATTGTATGAAAAAGCTGCATAATGATGATAGAAATATGTAATTTGACATACCCTTCTCTCAGTTAAATTAAAACGAAACAACTTAAGGCGAAAATAACAATTCATTTGGTAGCTAACATCTTAGGAGTAAAAAATTGTTTTCTCGACAATAAAAGAATAAACAAGAAAGAATCATAACAGTTTTGGATCTACTTTTGAAAGTAAGTTTTAATCAAAATGTTGCCAACTTTAGTTTCGTTCAAAAAGAGTCGCATTTTTAATATCTGTAAACTAAGCATTTTTCTACTTTTTTTTATATTTATCAAATCAGACTAAAAGGTTTTTATATAGTTCTGAAGTAGAAAATAACGTAGGAAATTGCTACTAGAATTACTTTTGAAATAAGATTGTATATTGACAGTGAAATATTATTGGAAAAAAAAATAACACAGAAATTTATTTCGAAAAGCTTCTCATTTTTATAGCGTATAAAATGTTTCGAAATTAAATTACGAAAGTGTTCTATAAAATGGTAGCTGCAAACAGTAAACAAAACTATTGTTTAACCAATTATTAAATTCCTTTCTCAAAGAGTTTTATTTATTAAAAAAAAACAATTTGATAAATACATAATTCTGGGGTTCTTTTTTTAATTTTTAATAACATTTCTATGAAAAAAAAATATTATATACTTCTAAAATAGAAAATGCTCTTTATCAAATTATTCAGAATATAATAACCCGATAATTGATGAAATTCATTTCTTCGAGGAAGTGACGATAGTTATTTCGACACTTCGACGAAATTTTCGCTCTTAGCATTTTTTCACGAAATCGAAGAAAAATGTCTTGATTTCTGAATATCCATTCAAATTCATTTCATTTCTTGATTTCAAAAAATAATGTTACTATATTTTTTAACAATTTAATTTTATTATTTTTCAGCTTATCGTTGAATAAAATTTATTTCATTAGGTAATTCGTCTTTCTTTTACTAAGAATTGAAGCTTCGTCCAATTTTTTCCCAAACGTGTTTATTCATCTTTTTCATAGGGATTATCACTTATTCCACATACGTTCCGTAATACAGTAATAATATTCAGAGAGATAACAATACCATGACGAGAGACTAAATATTTCATGATATTGAGAAATTCGGATGTCATACATCGAATATTTACATCTAATATCAAATTTTTAAATCGAATACCAACTATTTTAATCGAATACCAAATATTTTAATCGAATGAGTTTAAGAAGTAAAATAATATAGTTTAACAAAATACTATATTATGGTAGCAGCAAATTCAAACTATGGTGCAAAGTGCTCGAAAATTCTGACATTGTTGTTATTCTTTCAATTCTGTTGTTTAAAGAAATATTTCACTTATTCCAAATTAGTCATTATTTGATTTTATTTTTAAATAAACAAATTTATTTTGGACCAACAGACTTTGACAAACAGAATGCTTTTAGTTTTGTCATATTTTAAAGAAAATTCTAGTATTTTTTAAGTTTAAGTTTTGTATTCAGGTATTTAACCCTTCCTTCTCTTTCCCGTGAAAATGACGTTGTGAGATTTCGCCCTCTATTTCTCGCTCCCGTGAAATTTCTGGGCTGGAACGTTCAGTAGTATCGCGTCAATAAGAATAAAACTAATTCATTTCTTTTGCCTGGAAAACATTATATTTCTCATTTTGCACACTAGATGGCAGAACCAGGATTCTTTTAAGGTAATTGTAGATAGTTAGTTTATTTTAAACTAGATGTCAACACTAATCAAATAAGTGTATTTGGCAAAATAGGCGTTTTTATGACCGCTTTCTTGAAAATAAACCGATCGTTAAGGGGTTAAAAAAATTACTTTCTTATGTTTTGTACCTATGCCTTCATTTATACTTTTTACTCGCTATTTTTTTTCAAAACTGTAGGTTCTTCCTTAAAAATTGCTACTTTAATTTCAAGTGCTTTTATCTTTTCATAGTATTTCAGAGTTATATGCACATTTATGATTAGCCATTAAATAATTTGTATATTGTAGAACTTACATACACTATCTGGCCAAAAGTATCCCGACATCCGGTTGTTATGGTGGTGAAAGTATAATGGTGTGGAGGTCTTTCTCGTGGTTCGGCCTAGGTTCGTTAGTTCCTGTGGTTGGAAACATGAATTATAAGATATATGTGGATATTCTGGAGAATTCTGCTCTATGGCAATATTTCGGCCAATTTTTCTTCCAGCAGGATAACTGCTCCATTCACACATGGAGGCTTGCGCAGACTTTGTTTGACGAAATGTGTGTTCAAAAACTGGCCTGGCCCTTCAAATGGCCTGATCTAAATCCCATCGAACACTTTTGGAACGAATTAGAGTTCAGATTACGTAGTCAGCCAAATCGACCTTCCTCACTACAAGCACTCACTTCAGTTGTGATGGAAGTCAATTCCTTATGTCCACCTATCAAAAACTGGTGGAAAGTCTTCCCAGACGTGTGCAGGCTGTCATCGATGCATAAGGAGAACCAGCATCACATTAATATGTGCGTCATGGCACGCTAAGTCCGAACCGGATACACGGTGTCCGAATAGTGTATAACTTATATTTTCTGCAGACAATATATAAATATACTTTCTACAGTTCTCTATGATAATGCATTACAAATGTATTCTTTGCAGGCATGAGGATATTAGTCATGTTCTTGTTGGACACAATGCACTAGTTGCAGACAATATATAAATATATTTTCTACAGTTCTCTATGATAATGCATTATAAATGTATTCTTTGCAGGCATGAGGATATTAGTGATATTCTTGTTGGACACCGTACACTAGTTGCAGACAATATATAAATATATTTTATACAGTCCTCTATGATAATGCATGTGTATTCTTTGCAGGTATGAGGATATTAGTGATGCTCTTGCTGGACACACTCCCGATGTTGGGTAATGTCCTTCTTCTATGTTTCTTTGTTTTCTTCATCTTCGGCATCGTGGGAGTACAGCTGTGGGCTGGCCTACTGCGTCAGAGGTGTTACATCGATCTCCCACCCAACACATCCCTTCCCAAGTGAGTACCCTCAAGTGATTACTCACCATCAGTATTTATGATTAAAATAACAAATGATATATCTTACAAATAGATAAGTTTACAATTATGTCAAATATTTTAGGTATAGATAAACACGTAATTTTTGCAAATGTATCCCATCAATTGTTGAAAGATGTATTTTGCATAGATTGATAAACTTTTAATTATGGACTAATGCGCCTTGCTTACGTTTATATTACACTGGTGTAAGAAATTAAGGGAATTTGCAGACTTTGTCGATTATCTCTAGAATTAGTGGACAGATTTGAATGAAATTCGATACATTGATACAATACAAAGCAAATAACCATTCAACAATTGTAATGCACACACGTGATCGTGCGTGACACTCTTTGGAGTCAGAAGGTATGAAATTGAAACAGGAAATGATAAACTGCCTTATTTCAAGTATGAAATCATGCTGCAAGACCTGCTTATCTGTAAGAGGGGACCATACCCCCTATTTATATATTTTTTGTTTGTTCTGCAACTGCTGTTTCATGCATTCCGACTCCAACGTGTGCAAAGTAGTTAGGACTAATAACAAATAAAATGACACATTTTCATCGAAAACTACAGCTTCAGTAATAGTTTCGCGGTCGTAAATTTCTGTAAATGGTTTACAGAAATTTGAAGTAAATATCATATCTTTAAAAATATAAGGTTGCTTTCATTGTGTTTTCTTTACACTTTTTCCACTATTCTGCATGATCAAATATACAGGCGAAATATATCATTTCTGACATTTCTCAATTTAGCGCCAATTTTGCAGTATTTAAATAAATTAAAAAAACAATTTTTATCGACTAGGAAAATGTAAGCATTCTATTGTTCAGCAAATCAGGAAAGCTTTTACTTATTTTATATTTATTTAATTTTTCACCGAACTCTAATATAATAAATTACATACAAAATATGTTACAAAGAAATGTTATTGATTACTTGGAAAAAAATGACGGAATGGGAGATAAGCAGGGGAACAGTATTATTTTTTAATATTTTTATGACCACTCAATTTCAGAAATTGCATTTTCCTGACAGCGATTTATTACTGACAATATCAATCCTTAATGAAACATATTATCTTTTATTATTTTGTATCGTTATCGATATTCTTTCCAAATTAATAAATTAAATGTTAATATTTCAAGAAATACCTCCATCGTATTAGAAGATAGATAATTTGAATATAAATTCAATGCAGAATTCCACGTTAATAAAATAAAAAATACTATAAAAATGAAGAAAAAAATCAAATTTGATACTTTATACCAATGTATTTGAACATATAAGAAATTAATCAAACTGTTTTTAAACTAAATATAATTAAAACTAATTAAAGGTATCAGGAAAAAAATTTTTTTTGCTATACCTACAAAATATATAGTTTATATATTAAATCCCATTTATCATTTATTTAGGATTATTTAAATATAATTATAAAATAATAATAATAATAACTATAATTATAAAATAATAATAATAATANAGAAAAAACTATAAAATGTAGATGCTCGTTTTTAATTCTTCACGCTACTATAATTATAAAATAATAATAATAAATTATGGTAATCTGATGAAACTGCCGTACTGCAATGACATTTCTGGTAAAAAAAATTTTTAAAAAAAAGGAGGAAAGAAAAAACGGAATTCTGGTAATAAAAACAAAATTTACGGTATTTAAACCATTCACGTGACAATTTTTCCTTTCATATAATAACGGTTTCGCTGAAATACTGGTTTTCAAAGCTATAGTTCTTATTACCACATATTTAGTAAAAACTAAAAAACTTAAAGGTGAACTTAACTGAATAAATGATTTTGATGCCATGCTCAAAGAAACAGAGAAGTAATTTCCAAATTTACTAAGTCTTATTTTATGAAATCATATTTTAAATTTACCGAAATCACTACTTCAATGTTGTAAAGAACGCCTTTAAATTTTTTAGAAATCTTGTCAAAAAAAGAAAAACAAATATTAATGCACTTTAAGACTAGTAAATTAATATTTAACGAAAATGCTATCAAAATCTAAGGAATCCCAACTGACGAAGAAGTTACTTAAAATCGCAAATATCTACCAGTTTGATTGTTTAAACCATTCCTTCTCGCTCCCGTGAAAATGACGGGGTGAGGTTTTGCCCTCTATTTCTCGCTTTCGTGAAATTTCCGGGCTGGAGTGTTCGGTAGTAACGCTCCAATAAGAATAAAATAATTAATTTCTTTTGCCAAGAAAACATTATATTTCTCATTTTACGCACCAGATTGCAGTACCAGGGCATTTTTAAGGTAATTGTAGATAGTTAGTTTATTTTAAACTAGATGTCAGAACAAATCAAATACGTATATTTGGCAAAATCGTTCATGACCATTTTCTTGAAAATTAAATAATCGTTAAAGGGTTAATAGATGTTTCAAAAAGTCAATTTCTTCTCTCAATTCATTCTCGCAGTAGCGATTCGTTAGATTTCGACTTCCTTTTTGTGTTTTTTTTAATACTTGAATACAAATTTGCTTCCGCTGTAGTATATTTTCGACAAGGTTCTAAAAAATAAAATTATGAGTGGTCACTGGAGAACACCCTGTATAGCATTTATTTTCTGACAAGTACTTTCACAAGACAGCTGTTATTGTGGTAAATATTTAGTTACAAAAAAACTTAAGATGTCTTTTCGGTTATATTTTTCTTCCCGTAAAAATCACTAATACTTTCAATTTGATTTTAATATTAAATTTATAGTTATTATATGTCAGTAACTTTATTATATATTTATGTGGACAAAAAATGGGTAAATATGGATACATTTAGAATTTCATTATTAATTACAGATGCATTAATTCCTGCTTAAAATCTAGCTTCATTTTCTGTAATTTGCATTGCTTTCATTATAATATATTATTTTATTTTTCTATTTTGGCTGTCTCTGGTGTTAAAATAAACAACTCTAGGGGACAGATTTCATTTTTGCATAACCTATTTTAATATTCCAGGTATTTATCTCCAATTTACTACGAGAAAGTGAAAGTTCTTAAGTAAGATTTTTATAAATGAAATATTTGTGTAAACGTGCGCATGCTTTGCGCGAAATGCTGTTTTCATATTGCTGTTTGTTATAAATCTGTGTCTACATTTTGTTCGAAATAAATAATAAAGAAGCAAAAAACCTTCAAGATAAATTCAGTCATAAAAAACAGCAAAACCTGCTGAAATTCGGTTCTTGTTGAAAGGGTAATTCAACACCGTTTTCACTAGCTCGTGAGTTGGAATCTTGTAATCAAAATATAGAGCACTTGCAAACTAGATATATACAGGGGTTTCCATCTTACATGAGGCCGGGGGCCACAATTAAAAACCCTGTCAAATTGCGGGCAGCAGGTTTATCAAAAGTTTTGTAGAACTCTTTTATCTTTGAAGGAGCATTAAATATTACTGTCAGATTTTTAAATTAAAATAAGAAGTAGATTTTTAAAAATATGAAAAATTGCATATGAAAATTTTTTGACTGCAATAACTTTAATGTGCACCTATGTATTAAACAATTAATGTGCAACATATATCTAATTGTTAAGATATAAAACTTTAAAAAGGTTAGTATTAAAACTTATGTAATAACACACAAAATGTTCATCATTTTGAATTTAAAATTTACAGATGCAAATAATTTCGTCCAAAATGAGTGGTTTCGAAAAGATAAATCGGAGAATTTCTTCGAGAAAATTTCTGATACGCACATTCTAAATTATATTCATAAAATACAAAAAAAAAACGAAATAAGAAAGATCAACATACACGATTATTTTTTATTTGAATAAATATTTTCCTGGATGCAAAACCTGAGAAATAAATTTTTTTGCACCGTTGGTATGTTAAATTTCGCAGAAATGAAGAAATTAGGTTTTTTTTTAACGAGAAAAGTATTTTAAGCTCATATAGATTTTTTACGAAACTTGTCCGCAAAAAAATTACGACTAATATATTTTAGTTCGCGGGTCACATAAAAAGGCTTCGCTGGCCGGATGCGGCCCGGGGGATGCTAGTTGGTAACCACTGAGATAGAACATTTAAATCTTTATTAAAACCTTTTACAGCAGGGTAATATAATTTCTGATATTTTTCTATAGAATCCTAAACACTAAAAGCAGAATTTATCACTATATTATCACCAATGAGTTAATACTACTCAAATTTCTAGTGGAGCTCTTGCCTGATTACAATGCTGTTATTCAATAGAAAAATTGACACAAGCGTCAAAAAATTTAAAATTGATAATTTGATATATTTGGTATTTCGGTATTAATTGCTGAAAAAATCCCCCCCCCCCCNAAAAAACCCCCCCCCCCCCAAATTATTTTTTCCATCAGTTTTTTTCTCTTTTTTTTGAAATTCTATTTTAGCTTTCCTCGTATTAGCTATAAAGTTGTCAAACCACATCGTGAAGCACTTTCTCTGCTTTTTCAATAACACAGCAGAATGCAATTGGCAAGTGTTTTCGAAATAATACAACCAAAATCAATCTCAACCAAACTTTTGGCCGTTTTGCTGCTTAAGCAAGTAGGCACAAAGTTAAAAATAAATAAATAAAATGAAAGTTTTAAAAAAAAGATTCATTTTACATTTGTCTGCCTAAAAACTAAAAACACCATGTGCATCCCTTTCTAAAAACAATGTTTATTATAAAAGTTTATTACAAAAGTATTACGTCCTACGTTTTCAGTTTAAGATTGGCAAAAATAAAGTTATTTTCTCCCTTTTAGTCTACTAAAAAAAATCTAGTTTTTTTTATTTTTTTATGTGTCGATTAAAGACTTTTTTTTGAAAAATTGCATACTTTTATCTGTCTTATAAACAAGGCACACTTTTACGACATCTATCACGATAGAACTTTTGTTTTTCTCGAAAGAAAACAAACAAAAAATCGGTAACAAAATAGTTAATCGTAAATTATTAGTCGTAAACAATTTATCCTCAAAATAATTATAAATAGGATGAAGACTTTTTTTAAGTAACAGTTAAATCCCTGATATTTCCAAAAGTCACATGCTAAAGTTAAAAAGTGCAATATACAAATAAATGCAACGACACATAAAAAAGTGTTCGTACAGAAACATAATGAGTTGCTGTTATGGCATGGTAATGTTGCTCGCCTCCGTGAGTTAAGTATAGTTCGTTCACCAGGAGCTGGCACCGCCTACATCACGTGATATCCGACGATACTATTTGGCTATTTTTGGGTAAAGGGTGTGAACAATCCTGAACAAGGTTGCTATTTGGCGATCGCATAACAAAAATATTTATTTCGCAATCTTTATGTGCATTCTTTTAACGTTAAATAATTCATAAATTTGATGATATTTCTCTCTTTTGAGTAAATAGTTTGTCCCTTTTGAGACATTTTGCTGGGAAAGCAGCAGTTTTTAAATTTAAAATACATTTATTTAGCTAGAGTAACGAAAGCTATACTAGAATTCACTGTTTGCGTTTGACACGCATTAAGGGTTGTCTCAATTTCAAGCGCTGAGATGTTTCTCCTCTTACTCCTGCGCTGAAATGAACTCAGAGTACGAGGTGGTGGAGTCAAGTGCCAACTCCTGGTGAACGAACTATGCACAGATGCCCACCGGGTTACGTTAATAAGAAACTTTCAGCATCTTCCATGGCAAAGTCTGTCGCTAAAAAAAAATATAAGAGCGTTTAGCGCTCTTTACTTTAAACACTATTTTTTTTTTATCAAAGTTAGTCGATTAATATTCTTACAGCAAGTGTAGGCGAAATAAGGAAGAACTTATATTTCGGGAAACGTTAAGAATTATTTTTTGACCAATGAAACTTCTCTGTTATCTGAGATATATGTGATTTAGTAACAGTTACTTAGAATTGACTTTTTTTTTTTTTTGAAATGTAGCGAACATTATTTCTAAATTCCAATACGGATGCAAAATGAAATTAACACAGGTTATAAAAACAGACAGCAATTCTAAAGCATTTCTGGTTTTGTATTCAATTAATGGTGACCGCTTGGTGCCTGGCTATTTTAACAGTGATTAATTTAACAGTGACTGGCATGCGTAACAGATACTATCTCTTTCCTCCGAACAGGCATGTGCGTCAATGAAAGCATGATATGTATATTTGTTCAACGTTTACGTGGATCGGAAGTTTGTAAAGTGTTCGTGATCATTAAATTAATTAAATGAAATAAATAGCCTGACTACATTCTAAGCATAAACAAACAGTTACAAAAAATATTTGTTACTAACAAAATCTCAAAGCTATCAATGAAACTTTTCTATAGTACATTAAAAGACAACTAACAGAAAGTTTCTCTTATTTGTTAAAAACAGTAATAACTCAGGCTATTTATTAATCACTTTTATTGTGTTGCTTATGTATTTATCTGCAGTTTTTTTATATTGTTTGTTGTATACGTTTTTAAATGTTTACTGTTCATCAATGTGTTTACTAACAAAAGTTTGATTTAATATGAAGTGTATTTGCATTATTAACATAAGTTGCATTTGGTACATTATTTGCCAATTTTAATAATTATTTTATATTTACATATTGTTTTTTCGTATTCAATACTGCCAAAAAAAATCTATGCACTTGTAATTGTGTTAAATGTGTCAAGGTTTTTCCTTGGCAATTCAGAAACATTTAAACTATTATTTTTCACAAATAATATTTGTGACCAAAATTTTGGAAAAAAAAATAAAAATTATATTAAAAAAATAAAACTTAACGGATATTCATAATTTCGTGAAAATAAAGGTTTTTTTGATTATTATACTTTTTTTTATAAAGCTTAATACAAAAATATCTTCTATAAGTACAGTTAACACATGAAAGAATTAAATTTCTGCGATCCAAAATAAAAAAAGGAAACTGTTCTTCCAAGTCTTAAGTCAAATTTTGAGTAGTACAGTAGGTTATTTTCAAAGAATTTTTTTTTCAATTATGTCGTATCAAAGTTTTAATTAACGAGAGATAAAAACGGTACTTAATTATACTTGTTTAATTATGCGATAGCGTAGGCAGAAAAATCTTTTCAGGAAGTTGTATTGAGCTTTAGAAATTATTGTTTATCAAGTAATATCTACGCTCATACCAAATCGTTATACCAAATCATTATACCAAAGGTTATGCGTTTTAATAACTAATCTTCATATTTAAATGTACATTTTTAATGCAAAATAAAATGTCGAAATGTTAATCCTATTCCATTATATTCAAAAATACTATGATCTATTTTTACATATTATAATTAACAAATACTACATAAGCCCTAAGAATTATACATTCTCCATGAATTAAAAATTCAACAAAAGTTCGTGACATCACAGCTTTTAAAATTACGTTACGTGACTTAATTACGTTGATGTTAAAAATATTCACCCCTGTTAAAAAATATAAAGAAAATTTTTATTCAAGTAGTTAAAGAAAACAATTATTTCAAAAATTTAATTAAGCAGTCTTTTAATGTAAGTATTTAATTTGTATTATCAATTTTTTCGTTGAAATTAATTTATAATTTTTAATTTTTCTCAATTAATTAATTCTCGATTAATTTTTTCGTTCAAAAATGTATTAGTTTTTTTGCTGTATATCGACTTTAAAAAACCGGGGAAATATTGACAGTCTTCACTTAGTTTATAAATAAGAAATTTTCCTACTACGTACATAATTTTAATTAAATAGTGTTACATAATTAGAATTCTTACTAAAAGTGCATAAACCAAAGTTGTTTCTGGGACTTTTTGTGTTTATGAAACGGGAGTCACAGGGGTTGAACAAAATAACGGAAATACAGTCGGACCTCTATTTAGCGAAGTCACAAAATCCCGATCAAAAGTTCGTTATATGGAAAATTCGTTAAACTGAAAATCACCTTTTGAAATAGTTAAGCAACTCAAAACAGGTTATAAATTCATAAACACTAGACATAGTTAAAATAGCAATTGAGACACCTTTACCTTGTAAACTAGTATTTACTATTCATTTTATAAATTTTAACCGTAAAAAAATGTACAAGAATGGAGCAAAACATTATCCAGTGTTACCCAATCATGCTATATACATTTTCAACTAAAAAAAGCTAAATTTATGTACAAAATTACAGCTGCATTCATTATAAAAGTAATTTTAAACATACATTACCACACACGTTCTTAACTTTAATTGCTACTGATAAAATCCTTTAATTTTGTCTTGAGTTTTTCTTTTGAAATGTAAACAAAAAGGGAAAGGGATTTTACTGCTTTCAAGTTTCAAGTTTCAAGTTTACTGCTTTCAGAAGAGTTTGGCTTCAAAAATCAATTCAGGGTCATTATCCCTATAAAATGTGCTAACAATTTTGAAATGTTCTGACATATTTTGGGAAATAGGGAAGGTGGACATCAAAGAAAAGTTCGTTGAATAGAAAATTCACATTCGTTATTTGGAAGCAAAATGGAAGTGTTCGTTACATGGAAGTCCAACTGTACTTCTATATTAACTTAGTTTAAAAAAATGTTAACTCAATGTAAAAATATATATATATATATTTATTAAAGAAGCAAATGCTTGTAAGATTTTGCATCGCAAAACTGTTTGTACCATTTAAAAGAACATGCTTGAAGATTTTTACCCATGTAAAAATTTACATCGACCAAAATGATTTTAGGAAATTAAAAGTTAATTTACTTTTTCGATACCACTATAATTAAAAAAGCTTCCTATACAAATATCGCAATCTTATTTAATGTTTTTGAAAGTGCCGATATTAAAGTTTGAAAGAAACAATTGACTTCCAACGGTAATTTTGGTAGATATGAACTCCGAAAATAACTTCGAAGAGCTTCAAGCATGATCTTTGAAATTGATCCAACAGTTTTGCCATGTAAAATCTTTTCAAATATTTGTTACTAAAAGAATTTTCTTTACATGAAGTTGGTATAGAAGTATTTACATTGTTTTGATCAACCCCTGTTACACAGGGGTGGGATAGCCTGATTGGTAGAGTACTGGACCCATGTCCAAGAATTCATGGGTTTAATCCCAGACTGGCCGAAGACTCCCCTTGTAGTAAATGGTGACTGTTGCACGCTAAATCTGTCGAGTCGCAAAGTCCTTCGTGCTCCCATAACAAATCAAAACCTCTGGGGGTACTGATCCAGGAGTTTCCTTGTCTTCTGGATTGGTTCAAAATTACAAGGATACGGAGTTGAACATTGGTAGTCGTAAACCCAAAAATTGGGTCGGCTGTTCAACAACGGATATATATATATATATATAAAAATTTAAAAAAACAGCATACNATATATATATATATATTAAAAGACCTGTTTACACGTTTGATATTTATTAATTCTCTTAAGTTTAACTTAAAAAAAGTATTATTTATTTTATTTAAAATTTATAAAAAATTGTATTTTATGGAAAAAAGTATAACTAAAATAAATATATATAATGTGATATTAGAAAATCTCAAGTTGTTATTCTTGTTACAAAAAATGTCTTGGAGTGTTTTTAATGAAAAGATTTTTTTATTAAATATAAAAGCTTTCTATTTATAATTGACGTTGCACAGTCTAGTTTAAGTAGCAATATTAACTATTAAGCCTTTTTTTCTATTAAGATTTATTTTACTATCCAGTAATATTTCATATAAAATTTCTAATAAACTTAATGTTTTTTTTATTAAAAAAAAAAGAAAACGTTTTAAGTAAAAACGCATGCTTTAAATTTATAAACTATCACTCTTTCTCATTGTTCCTCTGTCGATTTAACATCTTAAAAATGAAAACAATTTTGAAAACAAAGAGTTGTTTAAAACAACCACCTTTCTTCATTTTTATCAGCACATCCTCCGGGCTCTTTTTTCCATTAAATTCATTCATAAAACCTTTTGTTCTTAGACTTGCAATAAGATTCCATTAGCCTAAGGACTATATCTGACTTTTAAATTTAATTAATTCTGATTCAGTAGGCTCTTGGTTAAACAATAATGCATTACGAGATTTCGGCAAATTTCAAAGTCGTAAATGATAATGTTAAAATTACTACACGCACAAATAATTTAAATTTAAAATATCAATTATGTTTCATCCTTATAACTAATATGTATTGGAAGCAATATGAGAATCACTATGCATTTAGTAATATAAATGATAAATGATTTAGTAAACACAGTTGTTAAATTGCTGATACCTTGTTATCTTGTTGTTATCACAGTTGTTATCTCGTTAAATTCCTTTATATTGTGATGGAATATTTTAATAAAGTCTTACTGAACCAAAATCAATAGGTAAATGTCGTAAGTTATGATAAAAAAATAATCCATATCATAATGTACAGGGTAAAAAACATAAAATGATAAAAATATTATGATAAAAATATTGCATCATTAAGAAATTATTATGAGTTTTGAACTATAGTCACGTGTCTCAAGTTATCCAACGTTCTTTGCCATAAAAATTATTCTAATGTCAGGTGTTCAAAATCTAATCACAATGCAGTCCTTGACCTAATTATTACACGCACTCGAAGATTCTATGTAAAATCTTAATTATCAGGTGATACTTTACAGCTTTATTGTTTTTACGTGACTGAAACCGGTTTGCACTTGTTTACGCTAGTGTATCAATTGGTTAACATTGTAATGCAATAGTGAAAAATAAATACAAACTCGTGCAAAACATGTAATTATTAAAAATCTACAGTGCGTCTAATAATTTGATCTAATTATTACAATACAATAATATAATACCTGATGTAATAAATATTCTATATTTATATAATATATCGTCTAATTTATCCAAAAGTCGAATTTATATAATATATCGTCTAATTCAACCCATTGATACACGAACATAAACAAGTGCAAACCGGTTTCAGCGGCGTAAAAACAATAAAGCTGTATAGTGTATCATCTTATAATTAAGATTTTACATAGAATCTTATAGTACGTCTAATAATTTGACCAGGGACTGTGGTTAATATAAATTTTTGTCAGGTGTGTTAAGATAAATAGGTGATGCCAATATTTTTTTAAACTGTTCTAATTGAAATTAGTTTCAACGCGTTGCAGTGTTTAATACTATCATTTTTGTAAACCATGTTCACACCTATAGTGGAAAGATTGTGGCACTGCAGGTGTAGATGGTTTAACTCTGAAGTAGAAAGTGAAAACAGAATAAAAATCATAATAAAAATTATATTTCGTTTCAAACCTCGAGATGCAAAATAAAAAGAATATTATCCCAAGTGACATATCCAGTAAAATATTAATATTTGCTTGAAATGATCAAGGACAGGCCATTGGAGATAAATCTCGCACATCCTGCCTAATCAAAAATCGAGTTAAAAGTAGTATAATCAACACTTTGTAAGACAGGAAGGAGATATCCATTATAGGCGCATTATCGAAAAAAGACACCGCCAAAAGAAACGCCAATTCAGCCAACCTTATGATATCTCATGTTAATATTTAAATAATCTGGCTGAAGATTTAAGACCAAATAGTTTGCTGGAAATTAAAGTAAACCTAGTAATGAATATGCTAAAGGTTAAAAATAGGTTTTAAAGGTTAAAGAAAGGTTAAAAATAGGTTTTGATGTTCAATTTTTTCGACATTGAATTGTAATTAGTTATACACTTGCAGTGAAATAAAGAGTTATCAGTTATATTAATTAAAAATAGAAATCTTTGCATTCGCTCTTTATAAAATTGAATTAAGAATATTTAAATGATTTATTTATTTAAAAAAAAGTATTAGGAATGATTAAATTAATGAAATAAACGAAATTTAAAAGCTAGGTAATATTTAATATCTTATAGTGCATATTGCCAATCACAGTGATTCCAATATTTTGTAAATAATGTTCCCAAAAGCTTGTAGAATAACTACCACCATAAATGTTAAATACCAATTCCCTAGTATATAAGACATGTTAACTCGATTCTATCTTGAGGTACCTTTTGATAGATGAAGGTCGACATGGTCGTTAATATTCACCCCTCAAGCTTAGCTAGCAGTTACAGTTTTACCTCTGATAAATACAATCAATGATTTTAATTGATTACGGTATCGGAAAACTTAATTAAATTCTAAGATTATGGTGGTAAATTGTTTTATTTTTTGTGTCTTCTTTCGATAGTCCAATCTCCACCTATTACCAGAGTCCTGAAGCAGACAAGGACTACATCTGTAGTCTGGAGAAAGACAATGGCGTCCATCGCTGCCTTGATCTTCCGCATTCCAAGCATGGCGGCATGCTGTGCAACGCATCTGCTGCCCCATTCAGTGATAATACCCCCTACGATGAAGATTGTGTTAATTGGAACCAGTATTACACTAATTGTCGCCCTGGTGACAGGAACCCTTTCCAGGGTGCCATTTCTTTCGATAACATCGGATTAGCTTGGGTAGCCATATTTTTGGTAAGTTTCTAGTAGTCAGTTCCACTTCTAATAAAAATTTTAATCAGTTTCAATATGTATTCATGTCTTCACTGATAATGATTTAAACTGACAGTGCTACTAACAAGATTTAGTTCAGTTATGCTACCAACGATTAGAATAAAAGCTACTGACAGTGGTTTAAACTAATAATGGCTAACATTATTTAGATACTTATAATAGTTCGTATCATCAGTGCTACTTATAAAGTCTAGAATGCGCGAGGATACAAGAGATGGTTCGAACCATAAATGCTACTAATTCTCAATTTGAATTGTAAGTTCTGTTTCTAATAAGGAATTCAACTATCATTTTTAAAATGTGGATTCAAATCTTGGTTGTAATTATTATTAGTGATTGAAATCACCAATTCTAGTTACAATAGCTAGATCCGTTATGCTACTAACGATTAGAATTAAAGCTACTAACTGTGGTTCGAAATAATAATGGTTAGCATACTTAAGATGCTTATCAATCGTATCATCAGTGCTACTTATAAAATCTAGAATGAGTGAAAATACTAGAACCATAAATGCTACTAATTCTCAATTTGAATTGTAAATTCTGTTACTAATAAGGATTTTAACCTTTTTTTTTTAAATGTGTACGCAAATGCACATGCTAGATATTTTAACCATTGTTGCCAATGCGAAAGAGAAATAAGAACCTTCTTTGTCGCCATATACATATCTATATATATAGATATTTATTAGACTGTATATTGGATAGTTATAATTTATAAATTGCAAGTATAAGAGCAGCCTTAAAAGTTTCACTTTAATAAAAATGAGAGAAAAAAATTCTAATACTTCACTTCTTATAAAAATTTTCTGGTAAATATTTTTTTTTAAACTTTATTATTGCAAAGCTTATTATGTTGAATAAACAACCTGAAAGTAATCTTATTCATGATAAGCTTACGCAAGTTAATTTTCTAAATTAATTTTAACTTGCTTAAATAAAATTACAATATACACTTGAAAGTATTCCATGAAAGCTACAGTAATCACATTTACTTTGAGGGATTTCTGCAAATGATATTTTGTAGCCTCAATGAATGAAACTGCTCATAATTTTCTAGATGCATTAATTTAATTAGCAGCCAGATAAATTCATCTCGGCTTATAATTTTAAAATGTGCAAGTTGACTAATTTTGAGAAGCGAAATAAATACCATTTCTTTGAAACTCTCCTTTTAATGTTGAGTTCCAACGGTTATGCCAGGGTAAATATTAAACTCAAGTACTTGAAAACAACAAAAAAAGGAAATTTTAAAATCATATTTACGGAGTTTTGAAGATTTAGTATATTTACTGGAAGAAAACCAAGTAGCATGCACTAATTATGCATTTTAACACTAAGTGTTTTACAGTTTTATACACGAAAAGTCAAAGCTTAATGTTTCAAAATAATATTTTAAGTTCGTTCTTTATACAAATACCTACTTCGTTAAATATATAAAAACGTAAAATGTTAATTAAAAATATATTTATGGCTTTTTTTATTTAATTCATTCATAGGTTCCTTTATATTTTCCAGAGACAAAATTTAAGATTTAAGTTCTTCTTAAAAATATTAAAAAATTCATATTGTGAAAAAAAAATTTATGTTGCGTTTAGAACACAAGATCAGATTTCATTTTTTTCCCTTTGCTAAACTTTAAATTATACTAATGATGCTAAATTTACGCTTTGAAGTTTTCTTTTACTCTGTTTTTATTTTCTTTTATGTTTCCAAATTTTAAATTATATATCTCAAACTATATAAGAAAAGACAACCACAAAAAATTGAAGCACGCATTTATTATTTCATTGAAATGTAACCTTTCATTAAATTCTCGAAACACAGACTTAATATAATCTCAGTACACAAAAATAGAATAATCATCATATGCTTAAATAAGTTAAAGGTATGCCATCAACTTATCATATTTTCAAAACTTTGACCTAACTAAATGCAATCAATTTACATAAGCACCCACCACAGTGGAATCATCATAAGGACACGGTCCCCTGTAGAACACCAAAGACAAGCATCACTGGTTGCGGTCAGTAAGCGGATGGGTGACCACTTTGATCAGTCTGCGTCGGGGCAGAGGGTGCGTGGCATCGGCCTTTGGTGAACTGTTCTACTGTAAAGTGCTCGACTTCGCGCGCAGATCGTCGGTCTACCAAATCAAAATTGCGATGGCTTGTCTTTGGATCATCCTCAAGGATGTTTCCCAGATCGTCGCCAATAGTCCATTGTGCAGCTGCGACATAAGTAATTATGCGATATAAATAAAGCGACATTAATACGACACGACATAAATAAAGCACCTGCCTGCATAAGCATCCTTTTAAATATTTTATCATTTCATTAGTATTCCATCAAATCATTAAAAGTTTGAAGAGCAAATTTATTTAAACTTAATTGATGCCTGCAACTCTAAAAATTAAGCAATAAATTTAATTGGCATGGACGTTTACGTTGTGGACTTATTTGAACGCTGTTACACGAAAAAATAATTGTTGCTGATGCAAATTCTGACTGACACAATCTGGCACGAACAAATAGCTGAAAAATACAAATATTTGCTGAAATAAAGACCAACTCATTCAGCAGTTTGCAAAGAATCAGCGAATCCGCTTAGGGAAAATGTTATTAAAAAAGTAGTTTTAGTAATCATTTACGTTTGTGACCAAGAAAACTAATTTTTTCAAACACGCAACACATGATTTAAACGTTATTTCAAAGAATGAGAGCTTTCTACTTCCCAAAATCACTTCTTCCATTGATTCGAGCCTCTCAAGACGTACATTGTCCATAACTTTAAAGTTGCAACACTAAGCTTTTATTATTTCATTAATTTACCAACAGATCATTAAATTGGAAAGTTGAGTCTTAATTAAACACAATCAATAGATACTGTGCAAAAAATGAACATCATTTTTAAGTATAATAGGCTTTTATTATTTTCTTTTTCGCCATTAAATCATTATATTCGTACAAAGTAGATTTTTTTTCGAACACAATCTATGCAGCATAAAAAATTAACGTAATTTTAAGCACGACTATTTACTTTCGTGTGCCATTGATTCATTAAATTCTCAAAACATTGATTCATTTCATTGCTATGGCATCAAATAATCAAATTCGTAAAATTTGTAAGCTTTTTAAAAACGAATCGACACTTAAAAATAAGCATCAGTTTAAACTATTGTTGATAAGCATTCATTAAATTCGCTAATTAAACGCATATGCAGCATAAAAATATTAGCACCATTTTATGTATGATGAACTTTTACTGATTCCTTTATATGCCGTGAAATAATTATAATCGCAAAACGTAGACTTATTTAAACGCAATCAATCTCCACAACAATGAAGCGTGATGTGTTATTATTATTTGATTCATATGCAACCAATTATTTAAATTCACAAAACTAGTTTTAATTCATTGGCATAGCATCAGATGACCAAATTAGTGAATTGTAGACTTATTTAAAACCAATCGATATAGATAACACAAAAAATAAATCAACAGTAAACTGCTGTTGAAATACATTCAGAGTGACGAGATATTGTAACAATTAATCATGCAAATCTTTGCTTAAATTAAGACCAACTCATTCAGCAGTCTGCAAAAGAATTGACGAATTTAGAAAGCACTTTTGACAATGTATTATTGGAAAGATAATTTTAGAATAGATAAACGATAAATAACAATCACCTGTAAACCAAGTACTTTTTTCACATTTACTAACAAAAAAAAAAAAATTAATGTTTCCAAACACGCAACACATGCTTCCACATGAACATCATTCGAAAAAAGAATGTCTTCCTTTTTATTGTCCAGAATCGCAGAGAGTCCACACTTCCCCGATCGATTCAACTTCTGAAAGAGGAATCGGCATTCGATATTTCGATAGTTCATTGGCGACAGCTTAAAGTTGTTAGGTAACAATGATGTTTCTTTTTAAAGGGACAGTTTTTTTTCCTTCTTAAAACTCTGTTCCGTAAAATTTCTAATTGAATTTTCAATAAACGTGTCATCGAAGAAGGATTGGATTGGAATTCCAAGGAAGGCGAGCTTCAACAAAGTTGTCGAGTTTCTTTTATACTCTGCAGATTTGTATTGATATTAATACATTATTGTATGTTTTAGAAGTACATATTAGTCAGAAAAAATTTTCATACACAATATACAACCAATATTTTTTTTAATTTACTATTCTGTGGGAATTGATTAAAACAAAAACATACTAATTGTTTTTTTTTTTTTTTTACTTGAACATGTGAAACGAATTTCAATGTTTTAGTTTTTTCCCAGCAAATCTCGCTATAAATTTGTTGGCACTATGATGAATTCAACTAAGTACATATAAATATTATGAGTTTGGCAAATATCATTAAAACACGGTTGACAGTAAAAGATAGAAGTTAATCATCACTGGCTGCGGTCAATAAGCGGGTGGGTGACCACTTTGATCATTCAGTGTAGGGACCGAGGGTGTGCGGTACCAGTCCTCGTTTAGCTGTTCCACCATAAAGTGCTTGACTTAGCTCCCTGGGCGTCGGGCAACCAAAGCGGAGGAGCTGTCCTATCTGCAGAGGATCAGAATTGTGACGACATGTCTTCGGATCATCCTCCATACAGCAAACAACTTAAAATAATTACTTAGCGTACAGATTAACAAAATATAGTACATCATCACCGGACACAACAACATAATGAAGTGACCTCTACCTTCAAAAATACCTGTCTTATATACAGATTCCGTAATTATATGCACGAATGACGTCACTGAAGTTATCTGAAAAAATATCTGTTGCCAACACACGACTGAAACTTAATTCTGTTAATTTAATGTGTACAGGGGAGTAAAAAACCACTCCAACAAGGTGTTCACAAAATAGTAAAAAAAAACTAGATTTTTTTTTTTTTTTTTTGAAAAAATTCCCTACGGGAATTTTTTGTAGATAAATTGTGTGCAATACGTTTAAATAACTAACTCAAGAAAAAGTATAAAATGTCTTCTTAACTTTAAAAGAAGAAAAAAAAAACAGAAAAGGTTTAATTATGCTTGTGAATATACAATTACAACTTAAATTTTCAATGAAATATCGATTAATAAAAATAGTACTCCAACTTATTACATTTTAGTAACCGACTTCCAAGTCCGTAAACGAAGGCTTACATAGAGATTGAAACTTAAAATTATTGTCAACTTCTGTTACACTTTTGGAAATTTTGTAATTCAAGTTTTAAAGAGAAATTCTCCCGTCATTCCAATTAAATTTACGGCTTTGAAATCCAATGAAGTTTCATTAATGACTATTGGAGATGAACGCAAATTTGATTAAACAAGTGATGATGAATTATTTTCTTTTTATCATGAATTCCGTGTAAATGAATTTCTTTATTAAATTAAAGTCTGATGTAATATTATTAATAAAGCTTTGCAGTTATAGGTAAATTATATTATTGTTTGAAATGAATAGTTGATTAATAGAGGAGAGTGAAACAAAATGTTAAGAAACAATTTATGGAGTGTCCATGTTATTTAAAGAATATTTGCATTTAGAGCACATTTAATTCTCAACGGGGTAGGAAACATTGGACGAAGATTTTAGTAAATGAATACTAAATATGTCTTAGTTAAGCATAGATTAGAATATCTTAGTTAACTATAGTAGTTCAGATTAAAATAAATACATTTTAAATTTAAACTAAAACTACCGTTTAAATGAAAAAGACAGCAAAAAACATTTCTTTCTTCATTGTTCTTCTACTAACTCTTCATTATTAAAATGAAAATAATAAAAAAATAATTTGTTTGTACTCTTTATAATTAAAATGAAAGTAATTAACGTGATATTCACTTACGATTTCTGCTAGTTAAATGAGAAAGTGATAAAATGAATGATAATAACATTTACTGTATTCAAAATTAATGATAAATGAAACAATAACTCCTACTCTCTATTGTTTAAACGAAAGTAATAAAAATAATGTTTTTTTTTATCAATACTTTTCTTTTTGTTTTTCTAATAACTTTTCTGATTTGCCTGAAAATCATTAAAAAAAAGTTTGCTTTTACTCTTTATAAATTAAGTGAAAGTGGAAAAAATGACTTTGTTTAGTTTTAAATCAAATATTTTAATAATAACATCATTGATGTTTGCTAGCTTATAGCTCTTAATGCGCGTTCTTCAATATTTAATTGGGTATACTATAGCCTACGTCACAGATCGTGTTATTCCTACTAAATTTAACTAGTAAACAGCATTTTCTGCGAACCTGATTTCTAGCAACAAGTAAAAGCATCAAACGAAGTGTCTTGTTATAAGTCGCTACTCGCCAGGTTGGAATTGTATTAGTCTAGTTCCCTTGGAAATAATTTATATTGTTGTTTTACCGAAGTTTATGAATTTAGTAAGCATATTTAAAACTCAGTTTATTAATTAAACTAAAATGTAAATGTTATTCCAAGTAAGTGGAAGTAGTTGTGCTTTTTTCATATTATACCCAATTATTTTTTATTCGTTTTGATAGTAAATAAGCGTGATAGCATATGCGAAGTACAAAAGTAGTATTTGTAACGCTAACTAAAACCACGTATTTATTTTGTTTACAATTATGTTTTTAAAGCGTGTTACTTTAAACCTAAACAATTTAAAATCAATGGTACTTAAAATAATGAATAAATTTTGCACTGAAAAGCAAATCTTATGAAGAAATTGTGCTAATTTTTTAAAAGAAAAAACGTAAAATACTCTAGTATTATTACTGACGCCAATGATAATTTTTTTTAAGAATTTTTTTTCTATGCTCTACAATTGTTTAAATATCATTTGCCAAATCATTAAATATCGTTCTAAGAAGTACGTACAGAAACTGCCCTGATTTTTAAGTTAATAATTATTACATAGGACCTTAATGACAAGTTTATTTAAAACAAGTGAAGTTTCCATCCGAATAATGCATTTTATAAACTACTTCTTCGCGTTTTAAATGTGCTTTTCAAATTCAATATAATATAACTAAACATGATTTCTTTTCTGTGCTCTTTAATTGTTTAAATACCATTTGCAGCGTCATTAAATAGCACTATGTATGTATTGCAGGTAATTAGCTTAGAAGGCTGGACGGATATTATGTATTACGTGCAAGATGCTCATTCCTTTTGGGATTTCACTTATTTTGTTCTTCTCATTGTAGTAAGTTATTTTAATATTATTTTATTCAAAATGTTGCCAAACTCAAGTAGTTGCCAAGCCTTTAATAGTAATCACGTAATAGTCTCGATAGAGTGATATTTTAAATACCTGCAATTTATTACAAAATCATTTTCTTGAGCCCTTTAAGAGACATTTTTTTGGGCCGGGATAGTCTGGTCGGTAGGGCGCTGGGCTCATGTCCTAGAGTTCGTGGGTTCGAACCCCGCCGGCCGAAGATTCCCAGTGTAGTAAAGTGACTGAGGCACGTTAAATCTGTCGAGTCGCATAAGTCCTCCATGTTCCCATAACAAATCAATACCTCTAGGGGTACTGGATTGGAGATCGATCGTTCTCTGATTCAGGTCAAAATTACGATCTGTGGATGAACGAATGAATGTATGAATGGGTCCGCCCTATAAACGGGTGCGGCTTCTGGGTGTGGCAGAAGTCGAATTCTTGGCCATAGATGGCGCCACTGAAAAACAAGAAACGCACACTCTGCCTTAAATTCGATCGGTTTCACCAAGCAGGCTTGCTAGTAAGGCAAGTGGCATTAGAAACAGCAACAATAAGAGACAATTTTTGTGCTTGTTATATGAATAGAAAATTTATACCGTTCGAGATTTCATTTCATAAATTTTCTATTCTCGTAATTTTGAACACTTTCAAAGATTGAGTTCCCGTAGAAGAATCTCATTGGATTCTAAATCATTCATGAAGCAGTTTCTTACAACTCACATGTTCTAACGAGACGGTTTCAGTGAAGAATGATTATAATCCTGAGCTATAATTCTAGCAGGTGAGGTAACTTTCTCACTGAGATGAGCTTTATTGCCTTTCAAAAATGAATATATCTCCTGAGACCGATTCCTTACAAATGTCGATAGCAGTTTTCAAAGCACCAAGCTAATTTTAAAAAAATCTTCAGTGGTTTCTAATCTGCCTGAGATTGTAAAGATAATTGCAATCAGCCTATAAACTTGATGATTAATTTTTTAAGAAAAAATGTGCGAGGAATGACTGAGACTGAAATTATCATGACTTATTGCAATAAACCTTTAATAAGGCTATTTATAATAAGCCTGTACTTCTCTAGGCTTATTGCAAATTACGTAAAATGATTCAGTCTAACTGAACAATGAGTGATGTGTTTTCGAAATAGCCTGTATTTCAGTTTACGGCGATTAAAATGAAAGAGCCGTGTCGGCTCAGGGGACAGAGCATTCGCCTCCCAATGAGGTGAACCGCGTGCAAATCCCAGCGATGGCTGGTCGATATGAAATCCACACCCGGCTCATGGGTGAGAGTATCCTAGCCGTTAGGCTGACCGTGAGAGGTTTTCGTAGTTTTCCTTACGATGTAACGCAAATGCTGGTTAGTTGCATGAAAAAGTCCTCCACGAAGGCAAATTTCTCTCGATACTTGATCCAGGAGTTACCTTATCTTCCGGATTGAGTTCAAAATTGCAAGGCTACTGAGTTGAATATAAGTAATCGTAAACCCGAAAGTCGGGTAGGCTGTTAAAATTAATTAAATGGAAATAAAATAAATGTAAACTAAACAATGTTAAATTAAATTAAATTAAATTAAATTAAATTAAATTAAATTAAAATAAAATAAAATAAAATAAAATAAAATAAAATAAAATAAAAATAAAAAGTATCATATTGAATAAAATATGATGGATGCACTTAAAACGGCAGCGGCTATAGCTCGTTCACCAGGAGTTGGCACTTGGCCCCGCCTTCATCACGTGGTATACGACGATACTATTTCGCTATTTTTGGGAGAAGGTTGTGAGCAATCCTGAACAATGTTGCTATTTGGCGATCGTTTGGCAAAAATATTTATTTCGCAAACTTTATGTGCATTTTTTTAACAATAAATATTTCATAAATTGGATGATATTTTTCACCCTTTTTTTATGATATTTCTTTCTTTTGAGTGAATAGTTTGTCCTTTATGAGACATTTCGCTGGGAGAACAGCAGTTTTTAAATTTAAACTATATTTAATTAGTAAGTGTAACAAAAGGTATAATAACAGATGATAAAGCAAAGTAAGTGACTGAAAAAGAATTCACTTTTTGTGTTTGGCGCAAATTAAGGGTTGTCTCAATTTCAACAACGGAGATGTTTCTCTTCTAACTCCCGCGCTGAAATGAACTCTGCGTCCCAGGAGGTGGAGCCAAGTCTCAACTTCTGGTGAACGAACTATACTTGCGAAGGGGCAGATTATGAAATTAGCCTGCGAGTTATACGTAAATATTTAAGTAACCTTTCTTCTTGTTTTTTGCAGGTTGGTTCATTTTTTATGATTAATCTGTGTTTAGTTGTGATCGCGACTCAATTCTCAGAGACCAAAAAACGCGAAATGGAGCGCATGCGCATCGAACGTGCACGGTTTCACTCTTCCAGCACGATCGCCAGCACCAACGCTTCCGAACCATCCGGTTGCTATTCCCAACTGTTCAAATACGTTGCCCACTTGGGTCGTCGAACTAGGAGAAAATTCTTAAGGTTCTGCAGAAAGCACAAGCGGAAAAGGAACACCCCGGAAGGACATCCCAGTTCCATAACCCTGAGAAGGCGATCTTCGAAGAAAAGAAAATGGCAGCCCGGTCAGAGTTCCCTGAAAAACAATGGTTCCAAATCCACAACCGATGACCTCATAACCCTCCCCACAGCACCCATAGAAGACAACACCCCAATGGCACCTTTTGCGAGTCCAGAGATTTCTGATATAGACCTAGTGGCCTCTCCTAGAGAACTTTCCAACCTAGAGGAGGGACTGCAACGCCGACACGAAGTCAAAGATACCTTAGACATACTAGGTAATGTCTAATAAATAATTTACTCGTTTTGTATAAAAGTTTGAATGTTTGACTGAATGTAAGCAATAAAAATTTTCCTAAAACCGGGAAAAATTTAGAAAACATCCGGTGTATCCCACCGCTTACGTTTTGCTTATGAGGAAAAGTGTGAACATGCCTAATATAATATTCTAGGAAGTTTTAATATTGTGATTTGTGTTTAAATTCGCGCTTTATATTTTACCATTCATGAAAGTTTTCTGTAATGTATAAATTCTAACAGGTCTTGAGCCTAAAACAAATTTAACAAAATTAATATCACAGCATAAAGTGTAAGGTTAGTCATGTTTTGAGTTTTATCCCTTATTTGTCTATATTTGGGTAAAGAGCCGCGATGATTCAGGGGATAGAGCTCTCGCCTATGAGGTGAACTGGGTTCGAATCCCGGTGATAGCTGGTAATACGAAATCCGCATCCGGCTTGCACCCACCATAGTGCTGACGTGAAATATCCTCAGTAGTAGATGGATCATGGGTTAGAGTCGCCTTGCCGTCAAGATAACCGTGGGAGGTTCTCGTGGTCTTCCTTTCCATGAACGCAAATGCGGGGTAGCTCCATTAAAAAGTCCTTCACGAAGGCAAATTTCTCCCAATAGAATCCAGCAGTTTCCTTATCTTCTGGATAGGGTTCAAAATTACAAGACTACAGAGTTGAACATTAGTTGTCGTAAATCCAGAAATTGGGTCGGCTGTTCAACGACGGTTATAAAATAAAATATATTTGTGTAAAATAGCACCGTTCGATATTTTCTGTTTGGTAGTATCATAGCAGGCTTGCGGAGTTTTCCGATTTCAATTTTTGTTTGTTTTGTTGAAAGATAGGTTGAAAGAACGCGTTATACTGAAAACACTGCAAGTATAATAATATTTTATGGTGCGTTTTTTTTTTAAGTTTAGGCGTAAAAATCAGTCGTAACTAGCAACCCGGATGTCTTACGACAAATTTTAACCCCTAGCACCATCTGCGTTAATGCTTTCGCAATGGGAAGCGCACGTGCGAAAACTATTTGCGAATTTAAAGAGCCGTCAGAAATCATTTCTTCCTCCTCCATTCCTTCCTCCTAAAAACCACGTGTAGGTGAGTCATACTACCCTCATTTTGAGTAGAAGGTCAAATCTACATGTATCTGAAACCATATGGACATACAATGCCATCTTCTGGCAGAATTTTTATTTTTTAAAACGTTCCAGGGCACTGGCACAAATGAGTGGCAGTCGGGGGTGAAGAAGAAAAAGCTCTGGCACACCTGCGTATTGGCCGGTAAGTGAGTGCGTTTCTTGCTGGCACGTATATGCGACAGTCGGCGCGAAAGGGTTCTTTACTCGGTCAACTATCCATAGCGTATGGTGCGAACAAAAAAAAGCGTAAGGTATAAAATGCATGGTATTAACAAAATGTCATAGAAAAATGTATTGAAAGGTGTGCAAAAAATTTATGACCTAAAATGAATGGCATGGAGAAAAATATATGGTAGGAAATATATGTTGTGGACAAAATTCTCAAGTGGACAAATTTTTAAGCTCTTTGCCTGTTTTTTTTTTTTTTTTTTTTTTTTTTTTTTTTTTTTTTTNGGACCTAGGTCCAGCTATTCTTAGTCATGTTTTTTTTGTTTTTTTCTTCTTCTTTTTTTTAAAATTCTTTCTGTGCGTCTCTTTTAAATATACGACTAATTTAACCTTTCTGTGTTCATTTTTTCTTTCAGCTAACCCTCTCAAAGTTGTTACAAATAAACCTGAAGTACGAAAAAGATCGACATCCGAAAGTCGAACATCTCAGCTAACCTGTGCCGAATTATTAGCTCTTGGTGCAACGCAAGGGGCTGTTTTAGCCGGATTCGGAAACACTTTTGCTATGCAGCGTATCTACTCAAACCTTGAAAGAGGTAAGATACAATTTTTTTTTTCAAAGCGAAAACAACCCAAATCAAAATTCTTCATGGCCCCATCAAAACATTTTGATGGTTTATGTTGGTTTCAGTGCTATTCCTGATGGCTCAACAGCATTTGATGATCAACATCATCCAACATTTTCCTTCCATTATGAGTTCATGGTTTTTGATATGCCAACAAACTTCCATCATGCCATGATGGAAAATGCTACTTCTATACACTATGATGGTTAGCCATCAAGAGAAGTTTGGCGCTCATGGACCAACAATCCATGATGATTCTTAATGGTCCATGATGGTACCAACTATACATTTCCGTGATGTTTTAATGGGAATTCTTGTTGGTTCTCAAGAATATACCATCAAATCAATTTGTTTTTTTTATGTTGGACCACAATAAATCAATCCGAATTCCAACATTGGGGAGACAGGGGTTCATGACCGTTCCAACATTTGATTTCTAAGAAACTAAGATGCAAAATTTTGATGTTTCAGCATGAACTAACCGTCAAAACAAATTGCTATTCTTATGTTGGTCCATCATAAATCAGACCGAATTCCTACTTTGGGGTGATGGTTACCTATGCTGGCTACTATCAAAATTATAATGGCTCATGATAGAATTATGGATACCTTCAAGATTATGCTAACCATCAAGTTGTCTTAAGTACTGCGAATATAAATATTCAAAATAATCTTATATCTTAAATATTATATTATTATGCGGTGCTCCTAACATATTTGCTCGTTAATTACAAGCTTACAGGGTTTCTTAATAATTAAGGACAGTAATTACGGTACAGTGACTCTTTTTCCGACGAACTCGGAGTTTTGACAGTCAAAATATAGAATTAGTCGCAATTTGGAAAATACGGTTGAATGAAGATCGGAAGTTTGAGTCCCTTAATATTAATTTTTATTTATTTTGCCATATCTCAGAAACTTTTAGAGCGAATCAATCATGAGATTCGTTTATACAGAGGTAATTCAAAATAAAAAATAATTTTTAATAATAATTTAGTACTTTTATTATTTTATTTAATTATGGTCAAAAATGTTTAATTGTGAAATATGTAAATTTTGACGACAAAACACAAACTTTTTTTTTTTTTTATAACCGCCGTTGAACATCCGACGGCAATTTTTGAGTTTACGACTTCTAATATTCAACTTCGTAGCCATGTGTAATCAATTTCTAGAATTCCTAGATGGGAGAAATTTGCCTTCATTGAAAACTTTTTGATGGAACTGATCGGCATTTGCGTTACATGAAGAGGAATACCACGAAAATGTTCCATGGTTAGCCTGACATAAAGGGGACTCTAACCCATGATCCGCCTACCCCTGACGATATTTTAAGTCAGCACTGTGGTCGGCGTAAACCGGATGCGAAATTTATATTGATAAGCCATCACTGGGATTCGAACCCGATTCATTGGAAGGTGAATGCTCCATACCTTGAGCCACTATCTCTTAATGGCATCATAGTATTGTCTGGCCTGAATTATTTATCCTCTAGGTTCCAAACGCGAGCGCCAACTTCAAAGGGGTTGAAAACCTCGTGGAGGGGGAGCGTTGGAACTTTCTGGAAAATTTGCCAAACTTACAGAAGAAAGTCATTTTAACCCCTTAACGATCGGTTAATTTTCAAGAAAACGGTCATAAAAGTGCCCATTTTTTAGCTTTTGTATTTGTATTACGTATTTGATTAGTGCTGCAGCTTAGTTTTAAATAAACTAACTATCAACAATTACCTTAAAAATATCCTGTTGTTGCCATCAGGTGTGTAAAATAAGAAATAAAATGATTTCCGGGCAAAAGAAATGAATTAGTTTTATTCTTATTGGCCCGTTACTGCTGCACACTTCAGCCAACACCTCCTAGAAAAGAGTAGGCCTCTGCATGGGTTACCATAAATATCCTTTAGTAGTCCAAACGTAATGACATATTTCGTATTTGCAACCACTGCGCAGCTTAGTACCCCGAACGTAATGACATCTTTCTTATTTTTCATCAACTGCGCAGTTAACTTCGTCACATCGGACTACTAAATTGATCCGTGCTGAGGCCTTCAGACTTCTAGGAGGTGTTGCTTCAGCTCGTCAATATCACGGGAGCGAGAAATAGCGGGCGAAAACTCACTCCTTCATTTTCACGGGAGCGAGAAGGAAGGGGTTAAATATCGAGTGCACATTAAAACTAATTATTTCGTTTGTTCTGTATTCAAAAACCAATACATATTTATTCTAGTTTTCAATGTATTAAATGTTATTAAAGCAATTATTAATTTAGCAATTTAATTGAGAAAATGTTTACGAATCAGTAACAATAAAAACAACATTCTGTTTATTGTTCTATACAAAGTATTTTAACACTTAAAAATCAAACTAGTTTTTTTTAACAGTTGATATTTTGATTTTCAGATTATTTTAATTCGTCGTTATTTTCCTTCTTCAAACTTCCATACGAATCTTTATTTTTTAATTGCGCTAAATTTTAACGTGTTGCAATTAAGACCAATTTTTCTATATTTCACCTAAGCAACTGTTTTTTTTTTAATCAAATCTTATTTTTAAGGAGATTTAAGGATCTTAAACTTCTTTCGCAGCCTAATTTTCTGAAAACTCATTATTATTACTCATTATTAAGCTCATTATATTCATAATTTTTCCCAGACCTCAGAAACATTTTATATTTAAATTGATAATATTTAGTTGATTGTTTAATTTAAATAGAAAAGCGATAAATCGAATTCATTTCCATGCAAACAGTGATGGCTGCTTTAATAAGAAATTTACTAAATAAAAATTAAAATAAAAAATTCATAAAAAAAATTTATAGAAATTTTCATTAAAATAACGATATAATTAAGGGATCAAAATGTTAAAAGAAGTTTTTTTTTTAAAATTATTTAATAAAATTTTATATCGGGGGTTGTTGAAAACTTTTTGACTTGCACAATGGGCTGTATGCTGGAAAAAAAGTTGGGAACCTTTGATTTGAATGGGAGATTTAAAACATTTGATAAATGATCTGTGGTGCTGCCATTTCTTGAAATAGATTTTAACTACTTTTATATTTACGATTGTATCTTACGGCAGAAATTAGAGGAATCTGATAGCTTTAAAAAATACTTACAAATAGTTCATTTTTGTATACGAGATTTAAACCGTCGTTGAACAGCCGATCCGATTTTGAGTTTACGACTACCAATGTTCAACTCCGTAGCCTCGCAATTTTGAACCCAATCCAGAAGACAAGGGGACTCTTGGGTCAAGAGTTGGGACAAACTAGCCTTAGTGGAGGACTTTTTGATGGAATTTACCTCATTTGTGTTACATAGAGAGAAAAACCACGAAAATCTCCCATGGTTATCCTAGTAGCAAGGAGACTCTAACCCATGATCTGTCTACCTCTGAGGATATTTTACATCAGCACTGTAAAATTGCTGAATTATCTTTAGATTAAAGTTAAATTAAGAAATTTAAAATATCAGAGATGAAATGATTGAAATTGTTACTTTTGCTGATATTTCTTCAAGATCTGTATTGCCGTTTGACCTTTGTTTGTATTGTTTGTTTGTATTGTTCTGTACAACCGTTTGAAAATTTAATAGTGAATTTTCAACAAAAACAAATATTGAAAAAAAAGCTATTTTATTTTGAGCTTGCAATAGATAAATTTCATAACTAAAATCTACTCATCTCTCACATACTCTGGAAAATTCAGTCTATTAACAATCGAGTAAACAGAATGTGCGAACATTGTTCACATGAACGAAGTCTTTGATAACAAAATATTAACTGTTCAAATTACATGCCTGTGAAACACAAAATGACTGAATAAACTTTGAAGAATTTCACATCTTCATTCGTCGGGGTGTTCTTTAATGATCCCCCTTAATGCACATTTTAAAAATCCTTGTTAAAAACAGTCGAAAAATATGCTCATTAAAGTTTGAAGTCAAGAAAAAACAAAATTACTATCGAAATTTATTGGTTCATTGAAAACTGTTTGATTGCCGAGGGAAAGGTGATTATTAAAAACATCTCCAATTTTAATTAGTTTGATATTTTTGGTTCAGCTTTTCTCAAAAGTCGCTTTCGCCTAATTAGCGCTTCGCCTAATTAGGCGAAGCGCTAATTATTTGTTTTTGTTAGATCGCTTTCGCCTAATGTAGCGCTTTCGCCTAATTTCCTCGCCTAATGTTTGTACTTGTAACTGTCCCATAGTACCTTCTTCAGCTGGAATATGTTGAATTTAAGGACGTGACAAAGTAAATTGGTGTTGTAGAATTAAAAATGACTAAAATATCTTTTTCTTCGTAGAACCTTCCTCCATTAAGCTTGTAAGCTATAGATAAATATTATTAGCTCACAACTGTTTGAAAATGTAACATATTAATCAGTAAAAGGCTAAGTGAAATCAGTGAAAGTGCATTTGAAAATTAGCTAATAAAATAAAACTCTTGAGACGTAAATATTCTTATGTTTCCTGACTAAATCAAGCAACTTGGAGAAATGAAATTCTTCCAAGAACTAAGTAAACTCATCTTGGGAAAGTAAGTAACCAATTACTCATTTTTTTTCGTCCAAAGAATTCTCCAACGCTTTTTGACTTTTTTTTTCTGTCGAAATCATTCTCATCTCCAAAATAAACTCAAAGGGGGCTTCACTTTTGGCTTATATGTAGTAAACCTCAAAAGAGAGAGAAGGATCTTCCCATCTTTCTTTCAATTTCTATATATAACCAGAAGCAACCATATTTTAAGGGTTTGTTTACTTATGAATAATTGAGCGGAACGACACGGAAGAAAAAACAAACATGAAAAAAGACATCATGGCATCATTAACATTTAAGATGCGCGTGACACCATCTACAAGTACCTTTTTAATGGATAAACCAAGCAGAAGGAAGGTACAGGAATGTGCTGAAAAAGCAATTATTTTAAACCCCTATTTTTTTTTTAACTTGCAAGATTACTTTCTGGGGGCAGAAAGTGTCAGTCATAATCTGTCAACCTTTTCAATCCACCGAACTTCAGTAGAAGTGACAACGACCTTTGCAAAATCTGTTGAAACTGACAAAAAACTAATCTGTCAACCCCCTTATGAAGTTATTTCAGTCCACCTCGTTTTAGTTCGTAAATTCCTTCTTTTTATTCGTGATTCTGTATATCTTTATGATCGTGTCAGTTGATTTCAGTTGAGGGCGATGATGTGGTGGCAATTTGCTTTCGTGCTAACACGAAATTATCCAATTAATGACGCGAATAAGATGAATGAACTGCTATTTTAGTTTCAGACTTGCTTTCAAGATATAAAGATGTTACTGAGAAATTTCGTGTTTATTTCTTAATGTCTGTTTATATCTTAATGTCTGAAAATTATTTTTAACACTTAGTCAGGAATGAAAAGTGAAACTTAGGCTTCAATCTTGTGACATTTCAAAAGCTGCTGTGAAATTAAAATTACTTTCGTTTGGCCAAATAAAGACACTTCTCAAAAGGTGGAAACAATAATGTCGTTAACTACGCCTAATTTTTAATTCTACGCACACTTTAATCACATTGCACTAAAAATTCACTACCTATACAAAATAGCTTTCTATTGACATCGTAATTACGTTTATCATTGATTTTTAGGACTTCAAATTATCTAAAATAATAAATCAATCGATGCACTTTAGGTGTTGTGATCATTTCGTAATTAGATCTTGTGTAAAAAAATGGAAAAAAAAGATTCATGCGTAAAAAAAAAAAGAGATTTCATTGCAAAAATATTTCATAACAACGTCAAAAGAAATGCTGAAAAAGTATATTAATGACGGATAAATAAGTTTAAGGAACTTACTAAATCTATTCTACTAAAAATTATGCTAAATAATTACATAGTATCAATTGATACGTTTGAACACGCATTAAATCGCTGAAGCATTTTTTCTGAAAAAAACTTTTTTCATAGTGAAATACAACTTATATAGTCTTGTTATTTGTTAAGTATCTTAAAAATTAATTAAACAGCTGAATCTTTATTCTCTTATTTTTATTGCTACAATTGGAAATCCTTAAAAAACTGTTTCCGTATTTCTATTAAATCGCAGAATCATATTTTTGAAAAAAACTTTTTTCAACTTATGTTGCCTTGTTATTTGTTAAGTATAATAACAATTAATTAAACAGCTGAATCTTCATTCTCTTATTTTAATTGTTACAATTGGAAATCTTAAAAAAAAAATTCCGTATTTCCATTGAATCGCGGAATTTTCCATTAAATCGCTGAAGCATATTTTTGAAAAAAACTTTCTTCATAGTGAAATACAACTTATGTAGTCTTTTTATTTGTTAAGTATATTAACAATTAATTAAAAAGCTGAATCTTTATTCTCTTATTTTTATTGTTACAATTGGAAATCATTAAAACAACTGTTTCCGTATTTCTATTAAATCGCTGAATTTTTTACTAAATCGCTGAAGCAGTTTTTTGAAAAAAAAACTTTTTTCAGAGTGAAATACAACTTATGTAGTCTTGTTATTCGTTAAGTATATTAACAATTAATTAAACAGCTGAGTATTTATTCTCTTATTTTTATTGTTACAATTGGAAATCCTTAAAAAAATTGTTTCAGTATTACATTGTTGAATCTAATAGCATTAATGTTAGATATGGTCCTTTTCCTTTGAATTAACAGTTACGGTGTTCATTGAAAACTCTTGCAATTTATATTAAAATTTGAAAAAAAATTATAAATTAAATTCGAATGAGAAAAATTATAAACTTTTCTAGTTAACAACTTTAATCAGAATTTAAAACTTTGTTGTTGAAGTATACTTAAACTTAATCGCTGTTAGATCTGCGAGACCACCTTATGAGAAATTCTTAATGAACTTTCAAAATTTCACTTTTTTTTATTTGTTACTATACAATTTAATAATAATTATAATAATATTATAATTATAATTATAATATAATTATAATTATAATTATAATAATAATTTAATAATAATTATAAGACAATTTAAACATACATATAAAACAATTTAAACATTAATATACAATTTAGACAGCAATGTTTTCGAAACTTTTTTCTTGATACTATAATATGACATGTTTACAAATGTTTAGTTGGCTCGAAATTAAAGTTCAAAGCCCGCTTAATATCTTTTTACAGGAAATTTGTGCCCATTATTTCCCACTTAGACGCTCTTGAATTTGACAGTTTTCGTCTTTACGAAGTATGTATTAGGATACAAAATTGTAATTGCGCTTTGTTAGTGTATATTTGCTACACTTTTACAGGATTATATACTTTTTTATAACCGACGTTGATCAGTCAACCTAATTTTGAATTTACGACCATCAATAGGGCTTGGATAGCCTGGTTGGTAGAACGTTGGAACTCGTATTCGCGAGGGACGGTGTGAGTTCTAATACCATCGGTTGAAAAAATATCGTGCAATAAATGGTGACTGGTGCACGTTAAATCTGTCGGGGTCACAAAGTCCTCCAAATTCCCATTATGAATCCATACCTCTGGAGCTACTGAATTGGAGACTGATCGTTCTCTGGTACAGGTCAAAATGACGGTCTGTGGATGAATGAATGGGTCCGCCTTGTAAAACGAGCTGTGATGTGTGTGTGGCAAAAATTACATTCTTGGTCATAGGTGGCGCTACTGATAAACAAGAAACGCGTAGTCGCTTGATTCCCAAAACAGACTAGCTGGCAGGGCAAGTAGCAATCGAAGGAACACCAACGACTCTCAATATTGAACTGGCTCAAGCATTGTGACAAACTAGCCTTCGTGGAGGACTTTTTGATGGAACTAACCCACATTTACGTCACATGGAGAGAAAAAACATGAAAACCTTCCACGGTTAGGCCGACGGCTAACCCATGATCCATTTACCACTGAGGATATTTTACGTCAGCACTGTGGTCGGGGCGAGCCTACGCTGTCATTCGAACCTGAGTCATCTCATTCGAAGGGGTGTGCTCCATCTTTTGAACCACTGCGGTTCTTACTATGTACGTTATTTATGTTATTATATGTGCGTTAAACTATTATTACATTTAAATAAGAATAATAAGCGTCACATTTAACTGTAGTATAATTAGTGGATGGCCTATCTCGTGTTCACTTCACCTCGACATAACTAATTTATTACAACCAAAATTATCTTTGTCTTTCACTATTGGCGCAAATTATTGTATCTGAGCCATAAACGTATATAGCAAGGGTGAATATTCCTGTTGAATTTACACTTTGTTACACACATAATATTTTTGTTTCATTCTTGAAGGTGACAAACATCTATCGGCGCCTCAACTTCTGTTCTACAATCCAGAGAGCAGCGGCGAGTCGAAGTTCCACACCACCGAAGATTACTGGTCGGAGGAAGAAGAGTCGGAAGCTGACCTCAATGACTGCGTAACAGGGAACAGGAGCAGGAGCGCCTTCTGCAAGTGGTGGAATAAACAGCAGTCCCGGGTGAAGTTCCTCACCGACCATAGATACTTCCAAAGAGGCATACTCACAGCCATTCTTGTTAATACTCTTAGTATGGGCATAGAGTACCACAACCAGGTAAATACTCTCTGTAAACACAACTCCTGAGGATTTATTGTACAATTGTTACTTGTAATCTGATAGTACTTGAAAATTAAAATAGTCGTTTTCTCATTCGACACCTTGCTTAGTTTCAGTCAGCAATAGTTTCTCCACCGGTGAGCACTTCAAAGGAGAACTTGGCGACCATCTATTTCAAATTGGCCTCGGCATATAGAGCAATATGAATCAGAAGCCAGCTTGGATTTGTATAAGTAACCGGCATATTCTATAGAGAGATGGGGGCCGGGATAGCCTGGTCGGTAAGGCGCTGGGCCCATACCCAAGAGGTCGTGGGTTCGATCCTCGCCGGCCGAAGACTCCCCGTGTAGTAAATGGTGACTGATGCACGTTAAATCTGTCGAGTCTCAAAGTCCTCCATGTTCCCACAACAAATCAATACCTCTGGGGGTACTGATCCAGGAGTTTCCTTGTCTTCTGGATTGGTTCAAAATTACAGGGCTACGGAGTTGAACGTAAGTAGTCGTAAACCCATGAAATTGGGTCGGCTGTTCAACGACGGTTATAAAATAAAATAAAATAGAGAGATGGTACTGAGCCGAGGCCTCGTGGCTCGATCAGTCGGGAATGCTATTTGGCTTAAGATCCATGTACTTTTTGTTAAAATTTCCTCACATTAGATGCTTGTGGAAATCAGTGATGACTTTTCTTTTGAGAATTCGTTTAAAGATTGCAAAAGCGGCCGGTTATTATTGACCTGTTGTATGGAGGCGCCCTGTTTGGTCAAATCATCAGCCATTTCATTGCCATTAATTCCACAGGGAGAAAGGATCCATTGCAGTGCGACAGATTTTCCTAGTCATTGTAATTTATTAATCAAGATTTGACATTTTACCTCCAAATATATGAAATTTATGATCTTCGTTTCTTTAAATCCTGCATGTATATCCATGAAGGTATATCATTGCATTAATTTGTTGCTATAAAAACATATTTCAATAGGAAAAACATTGTTTTTTTTTCTTCATTATTTGTACATAGACCCCGTTTTATCCAACCGGGTTGGTCAAAGAAGGACACTGGTATGCTCCTAAAATATTTACTCTCCAAAATTCTGTTTTTTTTTCTTTCGTTTTTTTAAAATATTAAATAACAAAATTTTTTGAACTTAAAGAACTAATTTGTCATTCAAATTAAGATTTATACAATTCCATTCACATGGCTACTAAAAAAAAGAGAGAGAGAGAAAACTTCAAGAGCCGATTTCGTTCAAATTTCCTTGCAGTTTGAAAAATATATGAAAGGAAGTTTTACTTCTAGAACTACTTTGTTTTACTTCAAAAACTTCCAGGAAGTTTTACTTCTTGAACTTTTAGGAAGTGTTACTTCTAGAACTTCTAGGACTTCTAGGAAGTTTACTTCCAGAATTTCTAAGAAGTTTTACTTCTAGATCTACTTTGTTTTACTTCAAGAACTTCCAGGAAGTTTTACTTCTAGAACTTTTAGGAAGTGTTACTTCTAGAACTTCTAGGACTTCTCGGATGTTTACTTCCAGAATTTCTAAGAAGTTTTACTTCTAGAACTACTTTGTTTTACTTCAAGAACTTCCAGGAAGTTTTACTTCTATAACTTCTAGGAAGTTTTACTTCCAGAACTTCTAGAACTGCCTTTGAATTTCGTCAAAAGATTCAGATAAACTATCTTTGTCAATTAATGTTGGTTGTATTTCTTTAATTACAGCCCGATGAATTGACCCTCATCGTGGAAATCAGCAACGTCATTTTCACAGCTGTCTTTTTTCTGGAGATGATCCTCAAAATGTTTGCGGAAGGATTTTGTTCCTACATCAGCAGCGGATTTAACGTTTTCGACAGTGTCATCGTCGTCCTCAGGTGAGCGTTATATTTTTTATAAATCGTGCTGCTACTAGTTATCAGGACTCATCTAATAACTCCTAAAAATATTTTGTGAATCACGTGCCCATTTAATAGATTTCTAAGTAACATCCACCAGCTGCAATGTATTCCGGTATAGTAGTTCGTTCACCAGGAGTTGGCACTTGGCTCCACCTCCTCGGACGCAGAGTTCATTTCAGTGCGGGAGTAAGAAGAGAAGCATCTCCACCCTTGAAATTGAGACAACCCTTTATGCACGCCAAACATGAACAGTGAATTATTTTTCAGTCACGTTCGCTTTATCATCTGCTATTATACCATTCGTTTCTTTAGCTAACCGAATATATTTTAAATTTAAAAACTGCTGTTTTCCCAGCAAAATGTCTCAAAAAGGACAAACAATTCACTCAAAAGCGAGAAATGTCATAATCGCGCGAAATATCATCAAGTTTATGAATATATTTAATGTTAAAAAAGTAGAAAATTTGCGAAATAAATATTTTTGCCATACGATTGCCAAATAGCAACCTTGTTCAGGATTGTTCACATCCTTCTCCCAAAAATAGCGAAATAGGGTAAACCAACCAGTGGAGGAACACTACCCAGTGACGGAACATTTCATATGTATTGATTAAAAATAAGAATTTGAAATTTTTTCTTTTGATTGATTGGTAGCAATAGCTTACTGCCAAACAATAGGAAGTCATCTAGCAATGTTTTGGATTACCTGATCAAATAGACTTCTCTGGAAAAAATTTTAAATTTGTTATTATCGCTGCAACACATTGTTTCTTTGAAAAAATTATAAGGTGAGTGTTTGTATTTACATGATTGAAGTGGAATTAATTGCATGTAATAGTTTTATTTTTCTCACTGTGAAAATAAGAGTTCAAAATATAGTTATTGAAGTTACGTTTTATTTTTTTAAGCATCATAGCATAATCAAATACTGAGATAAGGGGGTGTTTATTCACTGGATCACCAAACGATGAAAAACCAGTGAAGGAACAAGTGTTCCTTTACTGGGTTTTTTCTCTAAGTTAATAAAAAGGAAAGAAAAACTTTAATTTTCTTATACCCTTAGTGATGTTTTGCATCAAAAGTATGTTAAAAATACAAAAAAACAACTTCTAACCAGTGAAGGAGCAGGCATGTTCCTTTACTGGGCATAGATTTTCCAGTGAATGAACAGTATGTGTTAATATGTTGTCACTTTACTTTTAAATTCATGATTAAAAAAAAAGTTAACATTTTCCAAGTATTTGTATGTTATAATTTCAAGAATAGGCTTGTTTTTAGATGTTTGCATGGCATATAAATTCATAAAGAGCATTAAAAAATAACCATAATTAAGTGTTCCTTTACTGGGTGTTCATTCACTGTTAAGAGCTGTTCCTTCACTTGGTCTTCTTACTACTTGTTATTTGAACCTCCAAAACTTTAAAACAATATTATGTAAGTTCTCTAAAAAAATGTACGTAATCTGCAATTAGTAACAAATATGTTGACACTGTCATTTAACTAAAATTACGAATTTCGAAATTAATATGATTTTTTAAAAGGCAAGCGAAGCTTAAGTGTTCCTTCACTGGTTAGTTTACCCTAGTAGCGTCGCATACCACGTGATGAAGGCGGAGTCAAGTGTCAACTACTGGAGAAGGAGCTATACTTGGATATAAAAGCTTCAAGAAACAACATTTAAAGTCCTTGTCTTTTAATGTTCTTTACTTTGTCTCTAACCATCGTTCAGAGAATAATGCTTTATTACCCCTGTATTACCCTAACATGCTTTATTACCGTGTGGTATAACTTTTAGAAGTTTAAATGAGGAATTTTGAATAGCAATTATAGTTTCTGAAAAGATATTCTCCAAACATGCAAAAAGTAGTAAATACGTGAAAGTCACAACGAATTACTTATAGTTTGTCTATGAAAAGAACTCCTTTCGCCATAAAGTCGGCCGTCCACTTCTATGGAAATAGTAAGTAGCTCATTTCAAATAGGAGAGTCTCTCTCTCCTTTTATTCCCTTTCTCTCGCCGACCCTACCCAAAGCCTGCCTCAAAAATTGACTCAACTCCCCTACTTGAAATAGTTAAACATCTTAACCATAGTCACCACTACTGCTGCTCCAGACGAAAAACGAGAGGAGTTCGTTCCATAGACAGAATATAAATATCTAGTTTTCGAACCACCGTGGCTCATGAGATAATGTACAGTGCGCACAAAGAAGAGGACCACCCTGAATAACTTCCGATCTAATGATCGGATTTTCACGTCATAGGACTCAATCTTAACGGTTCAAGGGGAAGATCTCAAATATACTAATTGATATGTGCAGACGATATTTTAAGTTATGAAATCTGACTCAAAAGCATACAACGTAGGTACTAAAAATAATTGTGTACAAAATTTTATAATTGCATTCACAAATTTTTCAGTTCGTTTGAAAAGTTCGCAGGATATAGCAAAATGCGCAAAAATTAAAATTAGCATTAAAGGGCAAAAATTTTAGAGAGCTCTCTTGATCACTCTATGAAGACCATATCTCCCAGATTGCTTCTACCCTTTATATTTTGGGTGTCAGAAATCCGAATCCGTCGGAAAAAAAGGTGTGTTTATTCAGAAAAAGTGCGTTTTTTTTGTCTGATTAAAATATTGATTAATAGCTTAAAATCTGCACTTATTAATTAGTATATTTGAGGTCACCAACTCAAACCATTAGCATTGAGCCCTAGAACGTGAAGATCCGATCATTAGATCAAAAGTTATTCAGGGTGATCTCTTTTTTTGCGCACTGCATGATGAGGTGACCCAGGCTAGAATCCCAGGGCAGGCTAATCAATTCGAATACAGCTCTAGGCTCTCACCATTGGCAGTGCTGGTTTGAAATATCTCGTAAAGGGGCACAAATATGGTTCAGACTAACTGTGGAAGTTATTCGTAGTTTTCATTTTCATGTAACAGAAATGCTCATCATCAAATCTTCCAGAATGTCAAATGATAGCCCGATGTTTAATCTAGATGTCTTATTTTCTGATTTGTAATACAACCCACAAAAAAAGGAAAAAAAATTGAATAAACGAAGAGGCAATAAAATACAGAAAGCGCTCTAGTCTTTTATTTTCTGGACTTTAAATTACAAGGCTACGAATTCTACATGGACCTCTGTTTACTTCCGATAATAAAATAAAATATCCACTATTTAAAATTTACAAAACGTCATGAGTCTTAGATGTATTTTTAAAGAGAGCATCAATATTTATAAAATCATAATCATAACCAAATTTGCATGAAAGACAACGAAATAAAAACAATGTGTGATTGAAATGAAGCAACCAGGTTTTTCAGTATTAAAAAATGTAGCTTTGTTTCCTTTAAAAATAGCGATCGAGTAAATAAATTAATAATTTTCACTCATATATTTCGCTCTAAACAGTGCAAAACACAGAAACAAATTAAAACAGAAAAGCTGTAAAGTTACTTTTTGCGAGATTTGTAAAGGTCAAACATTTTTATTTTCAGTCTTGTAGAGCTATGCCAAAGCAGTGGAAGTGGCCTGTCAGTTCTCCGAACTTTTCGACTACTAAGGATATTGAAATTGGTCCGCTTCATGCCTGCTCTTAGAAGGCAGCTAATCATCATGCTGAGGACGGTGGACAATGTGGCTGTCTTTTTCGCTCTTCTAATACTCTTCATATTTATTTTTAGGTGAGTTGCCCTACAGCTATCTCATAGAAAATTCTCCAAAAATTAAATTAATATTTTTATAACGTCAATATATATATTTACGTTACCGGGGCAAAGTATGAAACACCGGCATGCTGTAGAATGCCTAGGCATTGTATATAATGCCGGATGTTTTTAGGCAAGGTATGAAATAGGAGAAGTATTGCATACTTTCCTTAGGCATTGTATATTATACCTACGCATTCTAAAGAATGACAAATGCTATTTAGGCAAAGTATGAAAAGCACGTCCTGATGAGGTTATTATGTAAATGATGTGCATTTCTCGAGACTAAAAATGTTATTCTGAAAAAATAATGAGAGTGCCATTAAAAAAGGTTTATTCAAAATGCGTAAAGAAAAAGGAATAAATTTTTGAACAAATTTAAGTAAAATTGTGTATTTTGACAGGCTCGTACAAACCGCAAAGTGCAACTGACAAATTCAGAGCTTGAGGTGCTCGTTAAAAGTCACGTGCCTTGCCACGCTTTACGAGAAACGAATCGGAAATGTATTCTTTACTTTGACGGTTTCTCATTTGACATTCCATAGAATGCCTAGGAAATATGTGAATTATAAATCTATTCATACATTGTCGGCTAGTCTTAGGCATTATATACAATGCCTAGGCATTCAGTAAAATGCTGGATTTCAAACTTTGCCGGTAATATATATATATATATACAAGTAAATTACGAATGTTACGAAAGTACAAGTAAATTTTATTAACTTTTACTTGTGCTTTATATACAAGTAAATTAAGCAAGTATTTTATTGTAACCTTAACTAGTATACATTAATAAATTCTTTAGCATAAGCCCTTTCTTTAGTTTAATTTGTAGTGTATATATACATCTGAATTGCACGAATTTTTATCATCTACTTATTTTATGAGTAAGCAGCAAATTTTTTTTTTTAATTTAATTATTTCCTTATTGGTTTATAACCTTAATTTTTGTACTGTATGCACAAGTAGATTATAACTTTCCCTTCTCGTTCTTTCAGTATATTAGGAATGAATTTATTTGGTTGCAAATTTTGCAAGAAGTTACCAGATGGTGCTACACAATGTGATCGGAAAAACTTTGACTCCTTGCTTTGGGCAATTGTTACAGTTTTTCAAGTAAGAATTTATTTTGTTCATAAGCATCTCACGAATTTTTAATAAACTAAAAACATTACTGAGAACTAGATATTTTTTGAAGCTGATTTTTTGATATTTTTATTTAAAGGGGTCGAATCCCTTATTCGCATACTTAATTCATCCCAGCTAATGTATAAGGAACTGGGTATTTTTGTGTAATTATAAATCTTTATAGAAGAAAAATTAGTTATATGTTTTTTATCCTGTCCAAATTATTCTCCGTACTAAAAGAATCTATGTAAAATCTTAATTACCGAGTGATATTACACAACTTTATGGTTTCTACAAGATTGAAACCGGTTTGCACTTCTTTACGTTCGTGCATCAATGGGTTAAATTAGACGATGTTTAATATAAATTCGACGATTGGATAAACTAGACGATATATTATATAAATATAGAATATTTATTACATCAGGTATTATATCAGTATATTACAATAATTAGGCCAAATTATTAGACGCACTGTAGTTTGTTAATAATTACATCTTTTGCACGAGTTTATATGCAATACTTTTATATTTAAACATACATGTAATGGGTTTTATTCAGGAGATTTTTTTATATACTTCCTATTTGTAATCATTTTTAGCGTATTGCATTACAATGTTCACCAATTAATACATGAAAGTAGTAAACAAGTAAAAACCGGTTCCAGTTACGTAAAAACAATAAAACCGTGTAGTATCACCTGATAATTAAGATTTTACTAAGAATCTTATAGTACGTCCAATAATATGACAAGGGACTGAATACGGTGGCATTATCCATTAAGTGTAATGTGTCTCTGTAGTTTAATTCAAAGCTCGGCATTTTAAAACGATGAAACTAGCTCCGTCAGCGTGAAATATTTGATTACCAATGGAGAGTGGAAATTTCGCTGCCTGTTTTTGTCATTTCTTCTTTCTTCCAGATATTGACACAAGAGGACTGGAACGTGGTTCTGTTCAACGGAATGGAGAAGACATCTCATTGGGCGGCCTTGTATTTTGTAGCGTTGATGACTTTTGGAAACTACGTCCTCTTCAACTTGTTGGTTGCCATCCTAGTCGAAGGCTTCTCTGCTGAAGTAAGTAATATCTCTCATACATGGATTATTGTTGCTGTTGTAGTTCATTTACGTCGCACTAGAGCTGCGCAATGGGCAATTGGCGACGGTCTGGGAAGCATCCCTGAGGATGATCCGAAGACTTGCCATCACAATTTAGATCCTCTGCATAGGGGATGGCACCCCCGCTTCGGTAGCCCGATGACCTGCACGCGAAGTCGAGCTCTTTACGGTAGAACAGTTTAACGAGGACCAATACCGCACTTTCTCGGTCCCAACGCAGACTGATCCAAGTGGTCACCCATTCGCACAATGACCACAGTTATTGATGCTTGACTTCAGTGATCTTCTGGGAACCGTGTCTTAACGATCAGTCCACTGCGGTACCTCTTATACATGGAAAAGCATAGCTGTCCTAGAAACTCAACTTTAATTGCTTTTTGAGAAAAAAAAGTTGAATAATTGAACTTGGAAAAGGAATCAGATAAATAAAAATTAGTTTTAGAGTTAGTTCTTCGTAGAACTATTTATAATTTTTCTTTAATTTATTTAAAATTGTCTTTTTTTAAAAAAAAAACTGAAAAACGGGGAATTATTTAATTTACTTGCACTAAATATTAAAATGAAAACATATTAAGTATGTTTAGTAAATTTCACATATTAAAAAAAAAAGATCCTGATATATTTGTTGATGCAAATCCTAAATGGTAAGTCATTGGGCTACTCCAGATCCTTGAAATCATAAACAGACAGAAATATCTGAAACAAGAAAGTAAATCTGAAACAAACCTCCCTTTGCAAGTCTGAATCAAGAATGAATGGGTCGGGATAGCCGGGTTGGCAGGGCACTGGACTCATGTCCAAGAGTTCGTGGGTTCGATCCCCGCTGACCGAAGACTTCCCGTGTAGTTAATGGCGACTGATGCACATTAAATCCGTCGAGTCACTAAGGCCTCCATGTTCCCGTAACAAATCATTACTCTAGGGGTACTGATCCAGTAGTTCCCTTTCCTTCTTGATTGGGTTCAAAATTACAAGGCTACGGAGTTAAACATTAGTAGTCGTAAATCTAAAATTGGGTCAGCTGTTCAACGACGGTTATAAAATTAAAAATAAAAATCAAGAATGAATGAACCATGATGCCTTAGGGGGTAGAGAGTTTGCTTCCCAGAGAGGTGAACTGGGTTCGAATCTCAGCGATGGTAAGGCGATACGAACTCGCATCCGGTTGCACCAATCACAGTGCTGGCGCAAAATATCCTCAGTGGTATACGGATCATAGGTTAGAATCCCCTTGACGTCAAGCTAACCGTGGAAGGTTTCCGCGGTTATCCTCTCCATCTAACATAAGTGCGGGTTAGTTCCATCAGAAAAAGTCCTCTATGAAGGCCAATTTCCCCCAATACTTGATTCAGAACTTCCCTTGTCTTCTGGTTTGGGTTCAAAATTGCAAGGTTTCAGAATTGAACATTGATAGTCGTAGACCCAAAAATTAGGTCGGCTGTTCAACGACGGTTATAAAATAAAATAAATCAAGAATGAATATGTTTAGGAGTGAATTCAGCGATGCCAATTTCCAAGAATTGGAGAAAGTCTTATTTCCCTTACAAATTTAAGACATTTCTGGTGTCTACTTAGGATTATTGAAAAAAGTAGTCTAAATATGAACCATAAGGATTGCCAAGTAAATCTAGACTCATAAATTCGAATGTTCAAAGTAGAAATATGACGTTAAACTTGCGAAATATGCCGATCTCTAGTCTATTGATTACTGTACTGGTCTACGCGGCTAGTGGTTGTGAGTTCAAATCCCACCGTAGACGTGTAACTTTTCCTCTCTGTGTTCTATGTCTTTTCTTCTGTGAATGTAATCCTCCCTATAAACGGATGTACTGTTTGTCTAAGACAGGTACTCTTACCGCCACTAAGTCTGCGACAGTCTGGTACTATGGAAACAAGAAGAGGGCATTTTAGAGAAGGTAGCTTCGATGAAGAGGTCTTCTTTTCTCTCGCCGAAACCAGTCCTAAAGAGGGACCTCGCACCCCTACTTAAAATGATCATACCTAGTTACCATAGTCACCGCCACAGCTCCAGACGAATGTCTGGAAGAGACATAGACGACGCTACTCCGCCGCCTTGTCTAAACCACTGGGTAACGATTAGAGATGGTAATTCTGGCATTTTTGAGTGCCCGCCATTAAAAAAAATAATAAATAAAAATAAATAAAAAATAAAAATAAAAAAAATTGCAAAATATGTCCACAAATAGCAGACAGATTCTTCCTCTGTTAATGACATGGGAAAAAAAACTCCTTGTTAAATATTTTCATAACTCAAATGTATATGATCTTAATTCATATTTCCATGTGTGTTTTCAGGATGATAAAAAATCAGATGTTCGTTCGAGCTGCTCTTTGTGCGAGAAACAAGATTGTGAGACGAGTACGGACAAGGAGAACGCGGACAACACAAAATGGATTTTGGATGAGGACGATCCCAAGGACAACATCGAGAAAGGCACTCTTTCATTTTACTTCTTTTTCGATATTTTCCCTTAACTAATGGTTAAAATGTTTGTGATAACTCTTATATGTTAACTTTTCTAGCAGTTTAAGTGTAGAAATGGGTTGTAAACTTTTGAGGAACAAAAGTTCCAAAAATAATGACACACAATTTATACTAAACACAAAGTTTTGCCCCGAACTTACAAACCACTTCCCTCATTATCCCGAGTTAACTCGGGTATGTATATATTGCAAATATTTACTATCCCGAGAAAACTCGGGTATGCATATATTGCAAATATTTACTATCCCGAGAAAACTCGGGCATGTATATATTGCAAATATTTATTATCCCGAGTTAACTCGGGTATGTACACATTGCAAATATTTATCCTCCCGAATTAACTCGGGTACGTATATATTGCAAATATTTATTATCCCGAGAAAACTCGGTCATGTATATATTGCAAATATTTATTATCCCGAGTTAACTCGGGTATGTATATATTGCAAATATTTATTATCCCGAATAACCTCGGGTATGCATATATTGCAAATATTTTTCATCCGGAATTAACTCGGGTATGCATATTTTGCCTATATTTATTATCCCGAATTAACTCGGGTATGTAAATATTGCAAATATTTATCATCCCGAATTAACTCGGGTATGTACATATTGCAAATATTTATCATCCCGAATTAACTCGGGTATGTATTATACATTGCAAATATTTATTATCCCGAGAAGACTCGGATGTTGCAGAATTTGTCAGTATGTCTTTTATTATCACGATTTTACTCGGTTAGAAGCAAAAAGAAAAAAAAATCTGCAGTGATTGGAAGTTTGCCAAGTTTTGTTTGGGAGTTTTATGTCGGTCTGCACACGAGTTTGTGCTATTGTATATACGATGGTTGCTGAATTTACATGGGATAAAAAGAGTAAAAAAAATGGCGCATGCCTTCACTGGCGTAAGGAATGTTTTGTTTCACTTTGCTTTGTCCCTTTTTTAGAAAGCTATCATACAAAAACTAATATTAATCTTTTTTCATTTGCCTCAGATAAATCGGGATAGTATACTCCAAATAAAATGTAGAACTCCAAATAAATACTCCAAATAAAATACGTAAAATAAAATGTTTTTTACACACAAAAAAAATTAATATTTCAACTTAAAACTTGTGTATTATATTTTGTTTTAGTTTCTTGTATTTATTAATGAAATAAAAAAATAAGTAGATTTTTTTAATTTTTTTTTCTTTAAAAAAATAGGTAAGCGTATCGGTTAACAAAACTCCTTAGTTCGAAACATCAAAAGAAGAGCGAACTTTAAAAATCATCTGACACATTCTGAAAGCCATATTTTTTGTTCGCCTTCTTGCAAGATAGATTCGCTTCTGTAATGTCAGCATCAGAAGCGATATCTAACAGCTCAAAATTAAATGCTTGCTAAGTTTTCTAGCAATTGAAAGGATTAAGTTGATCTCGTTTAGTCTTTATTGAAGCATTTGGAAAACATCTTCCTACATCCAATTTAAGAATGCGCCGATTTTTTTCTTAAATGGAAGCTTAAATAAAAACAAAACATAACAAGTAATTTGTTTATCAGACAATCAAATTTCAACGTTTGTCTTATCTTTCATCGCATATTTTAAAAATAATATATTGTTTTTAGTACAACCGGGACAGATACAAAATGTATTTTCTAGTACAAAATGCAGTAATTAATTTACAGAATTCATCGAATAACTCGTGAAAATACTTTATAAAATACATTCCCATTTAATATGCTCCAAAGAAACGTCTTGCCTCCGAAATATACATTCCTTGACGAAATTATTAGACGCACTATAAGATTCTTAGTAAAATCTTAATTATCAGGTAATACTACACGGTTTTATTGTTTTTACGCAACTGCACTTGTTTACATTAGTGTATCAATTGATTAACATTGTAATGCAATACGTTAAAAATAAATACAAACCGGAAGTATATAAAAATCTCCAGAATAAAAACCTATTATATGTATGTTTAAATATACAAGTAGTGCATATAAACTCGTGCAAAACATGCAATTATTTAAAAACTACAGTACGTCTAATAATTTGGTCTAATTATTAAATATACTAATATAATATTTATTCACCGATTTATTCACCGAAGAACCATTACATTATGACCACCCTGCTAATAACATGTAGGACAACCTTTAGCACTCAAAACTGATAGCACCCGCCGTGGCATTGATTCCACAAGGAGCTGATAGGTAGTTTGAGGTATCTGGTACCAAGCGCTCACCAACTGGTCCTGCAATTCCCTCACATTGCGAGGGGGTAGCGTGGCAGTACGAATTTGGTTTTCCAAGTAGGACCACACATGCTCTATTGGATTAAGGTCGGGTGAATTTGGGGGCTAAGACATGACTTGAAAGTCTCTAGAATGTTCCTCGAACCAGTCCATGACGATTCGACCCTTATGACATGGTGCATTATCCTGTTGGTAAACACCATCTCCCGCTGGAAAAACTGTTGCCATGAATGGGTGAACTATGTTCAAGTAGCTTACAGACGTCAGGGATTGTACTATGAGGATTATGGGCCCTAATGTGCCCCATGAGAACATTGTTCCTGGGCGATAAACTACGAAACTTTGGGTGAGTTCATTGTTATAGATGGAGGGTGGTCATAATGTAGTGGCTTTTCGGAGTATAAGATATCGTCTAATTTATCCAATTGTCGAATTTACATTATATATCGTCTAATTTAACCAATTGATCTCTTTGCAGAAATCAAAATGAAGGCCTTTCCTTATGTTTTAACCGTTCTGAAGCATCAGGATCCTGTGAACGGTTCTGGTGTCGGGACCAACCTGGTGTTTCCAGCACCAGTCATCACTCACACTGCAGCCACCCCTCAGGGTTCCCCTAACGCAACCCTGACTCTTCAGAGGGATATCAGCAACCGTCTCTGTCCGGAGAAGACGCTCAACATTAGTAATCCGTCCATAATCAGCGTCGATAAGACTCCTGTGAGTATCATAACAAATTTTGGCCAAATATTTAATTTGCAATTGAAAAGTTAATCCAACTTTGTCGCATAAAAAATGCAAAGAGTTTCGCAATTCTTCTGAAGCTTTAATTTTAACAGTGGTAGTAGGGTTCCCAAATTATAATTTAGATAAGGATAAATGTTATAGTCAATCACTTATACAGGTAAGGTGCAATGCTAGGTACTTTATTTACGTGGAACTAGAGCTGCACAATTAATGCAGTCCTTTAAAGATCCTTCGGGATCTCGGGCTAGAGGAAGACCTCCAACTAGATGGCTGGATGACACTACTAAAGATCTGAAACTATTAAAGATAAACAACTGAAAAAAAAACGCCATGGATAGGAGGCGTTGGAGGCTACGTGTGGTTGAAGCAGCCAAGGCCTGTAAGGGGCTGTCGTGCAGAAGAAGACGAAGAAGAAGAAGAGCTGCACAATGGATTATTGACGATGGTCTGGGAAACATCCCTGAGGAGGATCCGAGGATATGCCACTGCAGTTTTGATCCTCTGCAGAGGGGATGTTTCCCCTTTTTTGGTACTCCGAACACTTTGCGGTAGAACAGTTTAACAAGAATGGGACACCCTCGGTCCCTATGCAGGATGAACAATTTGATCACCCACCTGCTTACTGACGGCAGCCAGTGATGCTTGACTTCGGTTTTGTACTGGGAACAGTGTCTTTACGATCAGTCCTCTGCGGGACCAATCACTAATGAGGTCAATAATAACGAAACCAGAATTAAAAATCTAAAACCAGATGAAAAATGAGGTATAATTTGTGCTAGATATGAATAAAACAATATGAATGTGTGTAAACCACAAATAAAGGCAACTGAACGAACCATTCATGTCCCTTTAGTTGTGTTTTATACCCGTTGTATTTGTTTTTTCCCCTCTTAAACCAGTTTCATTAGAACCATCTTAATGGTAGTTTTAATCTTAATGGTGATTCATAACGAAAATTCAATGCATTCCAATCTCATTGGATAAATTTGCTGATTTTTTTGTAATTCTTCCTTTGCTAATTAGAGTACAGTAATTAGTAACATTTGACCAGAATTTAGAAAAGCATGGATTTCACATTTAAATATTCGGTAGCGACCTCTAATCTGAATAGTTTGTATTTCATTCTAAAACCATGCGCTTAAAGCAATCTTAACAGAACGCTTTGTATAGAATAAACTGATTTAGCTGAAGATGTTGAAATTGTTATTACAATGCATGCACATAGAAATAGTTATTAAATGGTGATCTCATGAATACTGTGGAAAGTACAAGTGATTCAACACAAACTTATCACATTACAAAATATTTTTTGTCCCATCAAATTAGAGAAAAAGAGTGTATTTTAAAAAATATCAATTAAAACTTATTATAAATTAGCTAGATTCTAAAAGCTGAAGTCTGCATCCGCATGAAACATGAAAACATCATTATTTTAAATGCATAAAAGAAAATGTATTCCATAGATGATACCACAATTTTGTACTTTGCTTTTTTTTAAAAACTCTTCAATTAGCCATGTAAGCATATTTAGAATACTGGAAGCAGCCTTGCCTTTTGGCAAACTTTGAAGTAGCCTTGTTTCATGGCAAACTTTGAAATAGCCTTGTTTCATGGCAAACTTTTAAGCAGTTTTTATTTATGATAAGCCTTGAAGCAGTCATGCTTCAGGTCAAGTCATGGATATTTTTCAGCATTACAACAAATAAATCATCCCCAAGTTGAATCTTGGAGTTCACAAATAACCTCATCCTGAACCATAATGGGATAGGGCGTTCGTCTTACAATGAGGTGAACCGGGTTCGAATCCCAGTGGTAGCTGGTCGATACGAAATCCGTATCCGGCTTGTACCGACCACAGTACTGGCGTAAAATATCCTCAGTGGTAGACGGATCACAGGTTAGAGTCTCCTTGCCGTCAGGCTAACCGTGGGAGTTTTCGTGGTTTTCCTCTCCATGTAACGCAAATGCGGGTTAGTTCCCTTAAAAAGTCTTCCACAAAGGCAAATTCATCCCAATACTTGATCCAAGAACTCGCTTGTCTTTTGAATCGGGTTCAAAATTACAAGGCTTCGGCGTTGAACATTGGTAGTCGTAAACCCAGAACATTGGGGCGGTTGTTCCACGACGGTTATAAAATAAAGTAACCTCATCTTCAAAACACAATCAGAGATGCGCTCTTAGACAATCCATAGTCATCTGCATTTACATCTAATTGCCCGCAGCCATGTATTTTAATTTTTCATCCTTTCACTGTAAATATCTGAGACGCTATATATTTAGTTCACTGTATATCTAGTTAACAGTATATAGACACATATATCTAGTTCACTAGATATCTAGTTAACAGTATCTAGACACATATATCTAGTTCTCTTTATATTTAGTTAACAGTATCTAGACACATATATCTAGTTCACTGTATATCTAGTTAACAGTATCTAGACACATATATCTAGTTCACAGTATATGTACTAAACAGTATCTAGACACATATATCTAGTTCACTGTATATCAGGTTGACAGTGTCTAGACACATGCATCTAGTTCACTGTATATCTAGTTGACAGTGTTTAGACACATATATCTAGTTCACTGCATATCTAGTTAACAGTATCTAGACACATATATCTAGTTCACTATATATCTAGTTAACAGTATCTAGACACATATATCTAGTTCTCTGTATATCTAGTTAACAGTATCTAGACACATATATCTAGTTCACTGTATATCTAGTTAACAGTATCTAGACACATATATCTAGTTC